GTGTGTGTGTGTGTGTGTGTGTGTGATATTTACTAGCTTCCCTGCAGAACAATAGGACCCCAAAGTTAGTTCTTCATTTTTTTCCTTCTTCCTGTCCCTGAACAAACCTGGAGCATCCTGTAGGTTCCCACTCCCAGTTTATGTGATGGTTTACAGAACAACAATGCAGCTTACTGCTTCTACCCCTTGTTATTGCCTTCGGATTCATTTGACTTACTCCTCCATGCTTCAAACTGTCTCCAGGTGTTAACATCCTTTTAAAAATCTTATGAGTCATTCTATCTTTATGTTGGGTTGTTATGGCTTTAGGAAAAATAAGGAGAAGCAAAGAAATGCATACTATGAAAAGGAAGAAAGCCCCCTGAGAAAGACACTCCCCCAAAGAAATTACTATGAAATCTAGTGTATATCCTTCCAGTCCTGCTCACAAATCCTCTGAACCCCCCATTCTTGCTCTTGGCCTGGCAGTTGGGGCAGAGCTGGGGCGGGCAGGCAGGGTCACTGGGGCACGACTTCTATCTGTATCTTCAGGGCAGTGATAGACTGCTCCTTCCCTGTCCTTACTGAACAAAATTAAACATAACCATAGAGGTAAATCCATGTTTTTTTTTTCATAACATTTAAAAGTCATTTCTGTTTGCCTCAGCTACTACAGCACACATAACGGGATCAGTGGGAGACAGGGAGTGGCCAAAATTTAGAAGGCTTGGAATTGAGTTTAGATCGTAGGCAAAGACTTAAAAGGGCAATTCTTCATTTTGTTGATACATTGAGTTTCTATATTGTCTTAAATGGCTTTTAATTATGCAAATTGGCTTCAGAGACAAACTATTTTGAATTAGCTTTATATTTCCAGGTCCTTAGTTTTCATCTAAACAGTTGTGACCTCTGTTGCTAATACAGGAACTTTAATGGGCTTCCTGTCTGCTGGTAGCTTCGGCTTTACACCTCTTCCATAGCTTTGTAGACATGAACATTAATCTGTTCGGTAAACATGGGGTCTCTACCATGAGCCAGCCATATGCTTTGCAGTAAAGAACATACCAAACGGTGAACTCCTTAAGGACAAGGGCCAGCTTTAACTCACGTTTGTTATCTCCCTATCCTAGCGGTGTCCCTCCTTGCAGGTGTTTGGTGAATGTTTGTGGAATTAAGCTCATATCCTGCCTTTTTCACACTGTTCACATTAGCTGAGCTTATGCAAAGGCCTTCCCCACCCCCCGCCCCAAAAGTGAACTCCCATCTTTTGCCTTGTCACGTTTCTTACTATTATGTTCCCATGACCTCTCTCCTAGTAAAGACGTTTTGTTCAACTCGTTTCTATAATTCCCAGGACCTTGCTCCTGAAATGTCCAGAATAGCCCTGTCCAATAGAAATACATGCCAGGAATATAGTGTTAAAATTTTAGTAGCTACATTTTAAAATGCAAAAAGAAACAGGTATTACCAAATTGAGTTTTTTAACCTGTTTTGTCCAAAATATCATTTCAATAATTAAAAATACTAGTATTTACAGTCTTTATTCATATTGTCTTCAAAATCCAATCTGTATTTTATACTTAGAGCACTAGCCACATGTGGCTGATGGCTACATTATTGGATAACATGGAATTTTTGTGCACTCACCATGAAAATAATTAAATTCAAATAGGACAAGAGGGCCATAAAAGCATCCATCTTATCAGCTCCATCATTGGCAAAAGAGAGAAATTCAGGTAAGACAGAATTATTTGCTAAGTGACATGTGATTTAACTTTTTTTTTAAGCTACTGTAAGCTATTCATAGATTTTTCATCATTAGATAAAGTCTGTAATTCAAAAACCATCAAGTCTTTTTTTTTTTAATGCTTGTGAACTATTAGCTTTCTTTGGAGGCATCATTGGCCGCCACCACAGCCAACCTTCCTTTTCATCTCTTCCTACTTCATTGGCTTCCTGGAGTCTATATGATTAGGATTTTTTTCTCCCTCTTGTCCCCTGAATGCCATATCTTCTCTAACACTGATCTGACACTGTGTTCCCCAGAAACTTGAAATATTTACATTGTTTATCTTAACTTCTTATGCAAACATTCCTGTTGGTTGAAATGGGATTCCATTTATTAATAAGGTTGACATAGCATTGTCTGAGACATTTCAGAGTGTAGGGGTAGGAAGTTATTTAGTTAAAAATATAAAGCCATATTTTTTAGCTCACATTCCTAAAATCCACAGGAAACAATGTGATTGATACTAATGAGCAAATATCTCTTAAATTAAATAACAGACTGTCAAAATGACAAGTTAGTGGGTAAAGCCATATTTGGCAGGTGGAGGAACAAGAGAGAGTTGTCTGCCAAAGGTTGGGCTCATGAGAAGAGAATAGTGCGATAGGAACACACAGAGCATATTTTAAAGCAAAATTTTTGACAAGAATTCAAGTGTGATAAACATAGTGGTCAGGAGAAGAATCACTGGTATGTACCCTGCAGAGGGGTGTCTACAGAGCCAGTGAGGAGATGTTTCAGAAAAACTTAGAGCCTAAACTAGAACTCCCAGTTCATTGTTCTTCCAGTTGTATTACATCTTTCTGTAAAGGAGTTAAACATGGGCATGAGCAATGTAATAAGTACTAATTAGGAAACTAGAATTGTAGCACCAGATACCCAAAGAAACTACTACATTGTGAAGCTTCTTAATTTAGACTATCTGGTATTGATCCCTATATCCTTAACATCATGTTTAGTGCCTGCCACTGAACAGATACTGGTTGAATGAATGTATTGACTGTGAACAGTGAATTGTGGGCACACTTACTGAGTTCTAAGTGACAGGTTAAAGGAGAAAAATGTTGCAGATTGGGTAGTATAGGGGGTAACCCAAAGCTAGAAGAAGAGGGGATGAATGAGAAGAAACAACCTCTACAGCTTTAAGAGCCCTTGAGAAAGTAAAAAAGAGGAAGTGAAAAGGTTTAAAGATAAGAAGCAGTTTGAATTTACACACTACTCACTGCCTATCAGGGTGCAATCCCGGCTCTGTGAAATATGAGTGACAACATAGTATGCCAGTTACCCAGTAATTAAATTAATACAAGAAATGACATATTCAAGCTTCTGGATCTGTATGCCCAGAAAGTTATGATTCAAATGTTGTCCTGGCTTACTGGCCATTTTCTCCACACAAATCAAAGTATATTTGCAGTGCCACACCATTTATCTCAAAGCTTTGGCATGAGGTGTCTTTGTGTTAATTTTTAAGTTAGAATCACAACTCTAATAGCAAAACATTTTTGTTATTCCAAATAGACTACAGAAAAGTATAGTCCATGTGTATGTTTAAAACAGGTTTGCAAGTATTTAGGTATCTGTACATATCAAGTAATGCAGTTGTGGATCATAAAAAAGGGTCAGCTCACATGAATGGACCCAGAGCTCTATCTTATTGGGGTTTACTTCTAATATTCACCTGCCACTGATTCTGTGAGCTGTCAAATTAGAAATGTACTTGTCCCCATTGGTACCTCCCCATGAGTTACTTTCTCAAATAAAAAATGATTTCAACTTCTTACTTTAAGCTTAACTTCTAGCAAGGTTCCTCAGAATCAGCTTAACCCCTGGGGAGATAATTCAGGTACAGACCTTCATTCCTGCTCATTCAGTTTGGAAAATTGTTTTCAGTCTTCGGATCTCTTCAGTGTTAAACAATCACTTTTAACTTTATTTTCTAAAAATCATGATCTAGTTATTTTTCAAGTATACTTGGGTTAACAAAATGCAGCAGTGGGGTGTGCCTTGTAGTAGCTCAACAGACCACTTTTTTACATTCCTTAGAAATAAGATATGGCTCAGCATTTTAAATCATAGCAACAGTTGATAAGAAAAACAGCAAAAAGGTAATCATTTCCATATGGAAAGAAAAGGAAGAAACCAGTGAAGCTGTGAACTGTCATTTTTCCACATGAAAGTAAGTCACCACTAGTAGATTTGGCAGAAAGGGCAAATGTTCCTATTTGTTTCCCATTTTACATTTGTTAATACAGTGCATGTGACGTCTTCTATTCAAATGCACGTTCCCATTAAACGCATTTGCCAATTTTCAAGTGTGTTTTGTCCTGAGTGAAACCCACATCTTGTATTTATCAATGTCATCAAGCACTGTATTTCCTTGGAGATAATTTTCTCAAGTGAAATTTTGGTGAAGCTCTTACCCCTTGCACTGGAAAGCACGTAAGCATCTTCCACACCAGCTAAAAATCTTAGGGAATTTTAAAGCACTAGCTGAATAAAATCAATTCTACTTTGGCATTCTAAGATCTAAAAGATAAACCAGTTTTCTGATGCCCAGAAAATATAAGACAAAGCTAACATTTGCTTACTTACTTTGTATTTAAGCATGATATACATATTTAACAAAATCCTGACATTTCTTTTTAAATAGCTGCTTAAAGTGGAAAACTTTACCCTTTTATAGAGTAAAAAATTTGAATAGATGTTCACACTATAACATTTGACAATAGCTCCCTCTTGTGGTTCGAATCGTTCACTTCAAAGATGAATACAAACAACAATTGCAATTTCTAGGCTTAAATTTGTGCTGTGAAAGTTTAGTTCACATTTAATGATTCCTTTTGGGAAAAAAAGATGGAAGACTTAGGGACATGGAGACAAAACAGAATATGCCTTTTTTTGGATAGTTCCAGAGTTCCAAATTTTCAGCTAAGTGTACCCACATTTCTTTATAGAAGCACCAATATTTTTTCTTACAAGTGAAAATTCCAGGTAGATGTTTTCTCTGAAAACATGTTGTTCTCCATGTAAAAGGCCTTTCTCCTTTCTGTGGGGTATGCCAAAGGAAACGGCATTTAACTTTGTTACTTTAACAGATAGGAATTTGAAAGCCTAACAGAGAGGGTAGTACTAAAAATATTTTAGTTCAAAGATGATATAAGGTTCTTTTTCCCTTTTCCAAGATCAGAGGTTGCAATAACTGGCAACAACTTGTTCTAACAATGTGAAACTGTCCAAAAAGTCCTCTTCTTCAATTCCAAACTTTGTGTATTGATGAATATAGGCTCTGGTGAAAGAAACAGAAAATGTAAAATAAAAACTGTCAGGCAAATGAGTAACTCTTAAATAAATCAAGCAATACATAGACCTCACCAAGCTCATGAACAGTTGAAGAGGGCAGAATCTTTTGAAAGTTGTAATTTACTTCAATGTTTATTCCAAAGATCTGAAAACTTTCAAACTTTATGTGAAGCCCCCTGTCTTTTTAGTGTCCAAGACAGTAATAGTAAGAAGCACTAGGAAAACATTTATTCAACATCCTATAGACATTACTGGGTTTAATATAAACTCTAAAAAGTGTCTGAGAAGTTTTATCTAAGGCTTGAAACTAGAAATACATTAATCCAGTTCTAGGAAGGAAGTGAAGCCTCCCAATACCCACCCCCTCTCTTAATGCCCTGTACCTGCCAAAATGTTCGGAGGTAAGAGAAATGTTGAAAAGAATATCAAAGCAGACCTGAATTAACTTGATGTAATAATGGCTGCTACAATGTAATGACTGTGGGAAGAGAATGATACCAGAAAAGGACAGAATTCACAGCCCTAAGGAATGGGAGTTTAGGGCCAGGATGCAGGGGGTCCTTGAGAATTCTAGCAAATCAAAGCAGAGGCATGTCCAATCATTTGCAGAATTTTGCTTTGAGATTAATTGTGGCAGGGTTCAGGAAACCTGATAACACTTTTCTTAGTATCAAGTAGACATTTCTTAGTATCAAGTGGAGTTGAATTTGCAATATTTCCTACTGAGTAAGATCAGCACATTCTTCTGAGTCTTATTTTCAAAAACTATCCTTTTGTCCCCGGCTTATTTCTACTTTCATTTAGAAACTACTTGTTTAGCCACCAAAAAACTATTAAAAGTAATAAGTTCAGCCAAGTTGAAAGACACAAAACCAGTATTCAGAAATCTGTTGCATTCATATACACAAAAAACCAGCAGAAAGAAAAGTTAAGGAAACAATCCCATTTACAGTTTATTAAAAAGAATAAAATACCCTGTAGTAACTCTAACCAAGGAGAGGAAAGATCTGTACCCTGAAAACTATAAGACACTGATGAAATAAACTGAAGAAGACACAAACAAATGGAAACGTATTCCATCCATGGATAGAGAATTAATACAAAATGGTCACACCAGCCAAAGCAATATACAGATTCAATGCAATCCCTATCAAAATACCAGTGGCATTTTTCACAAAAGTTGCAGATAATCCTAATACTTGTATGGGACCACAAAAGACCCCAAATAGCCAAAGCAATCTTGAGAAAGAACAAAACAATGTATCATTCTTCCTGGTTTCAAACTATACTACAAAGCTATAGGAACCAAAACTGTGTGGTACTGTTACAAAAATAGACATACAGATCAATGGAATAGAATAGAGCCGAGAAATAAATCCACACTTACATGGTCAAGTAATATATGACAAAGGAGGCAGGAATATAACATGAGGAAAAGACTCTTCAATGAATGATGTTGGGAAAATTGAACAGCTATATGCAAAAGAATGAAACTTGATGACTATCTTACACCAAACACAAAAATAAACTAAAAATGAATTAAAGACCTAAATATAAGACCTGAAATCATAAAATTCCTAGATGGAAACATAGGTAGTAAACACTTAGACATTGGCCTTAGCAATTTTTTTCTGGATATATCTCCCCAGGCAAGGGGAGAAAAAGCAAAAATAACCAGTGGGACTACATCAGAACCTTCTTCATAGCAAAGGAAGCCATCAACAAAATGAAAAGGCAAACAAACTACTGACAGGGAGAAGACATTAACAAATGATATATTCAGTAAGGGGCTAATACCCAAAATATATGAAGAACTCATACAATTCAACACCAAAAAGACAATTTGATTAAAAAATATGCAGAGGACCTGGACTGACATTTTTCCAAAGAAGACATACAGATGTCCAATAGGCACATGAAAACAGCTGAACATTACTAATCATTAGGAAAATGCAAATCAAAACCACATGAGACACCCTGTTAGTTGGAACAGCTAGCATCAATAAGACAAGAAATAACACATGTTGGCAAGGATGTGGAGAATAGGAAATCCTTGTACACTGCTGGTGGAAATGTAAATTGGTGCATCCACTATGGAAAATGGTATGGAGGTTTCTTAAAAACCTAAAAATAGAAATATCATATGACCTAGTAATTACACTTATGGAAATTTACCCAAAGAAAGCAAAATCACTAATTCAAATAGATATTTATACTCCTATGTTAATCACAGCTTTTTTACAATAGCCAAGATATGGAAGCAACATAAAATGTTCATCAATAGAAGGATAGATAGAGAAGATGTGGCATAATGCAATATCACCCTTAAAAAAGAATGAAATCTTCTCCCCACTTTTACTCAACATAGTACTGGAGGTCCTACCCATGGCAATCAGACAACACAAAGAAATAAAAGGCATCCAGATTGGTAAGGAAGAAGTTAAACTGTCACTGTTCATAGATGACATGACATTGTACATAAAAAAACCCTAAAGAATCCACTCTAAAACTACTAGATCTAATACTGGAATTCAGCAAAGTTGCAGGACACAAAATTAATACACAGAAATATGTTGCATTCCCATACACTCATGATGAACTAGCAGAAAGAGAAACCAGGAAAAAAATTTCATTCATAATTGCATCAAAAAGAATAAAATACCTAGGAATAAACCTAACCAAGGAAGTGAAAGACCTATACTCTGAAAACTACAAGACACTCATGAGAGAAATTAAAGAAGATACCAATAAATGGAAATACATCCCATGCTCATGGATAGGAAGAATTAATATTGTCAAGATGGCCATCCTGCCTAAAGCAATCTACAGATTCAATGCAATCCCTATCAAAATACTGACAGCATTCTTCAATGAACTGGAACAAATAGTTCTAAAATTCATATGGAACCACAAAAGACCCCGAATAGCCAAAGCAATCCTGAGAAGGAAGAATAAAGATGGGGGCATTATATCCCTGTCTTCAAGCTCTACTACAGAGCCACGGTAATCAAGACAATTTGGTACTGGCACAAGAACAGACCCATAGACCAGTGGAACAGAATAGAGAGCCCAGATATAAACCCAACCATATATGGTTAATTCATATACAATAAAGGAGCCATGGACATACAATGGGGAAATGATAGCCTCTTCAACAACTGGTGTTGGCAAAACTGGACAGCTAAATGCAAGAGATTGAAACTGGATTACTGTCTAACCCCATACACAAAAGTAAACTCAAAATGGATCAAAGACTTGAATGTAAGTCGTGAAACCATAAAACTCTTAGAAGAAAACATGGGCAAAAATCTCTTGAATGTAAACATGAGCAACTTTTTTCTGAACACATCTCCTCAGGCAAGGGAAACAAAAGTAAAAAATGAACAAATGGGACTACATCAAGCTAAAAAGCTTCTGTACAGCAAAGGACACCATCAGTACAACAAAAAGGCATCCTACAGTATGGGAGAATATATTTGTAAATGACATCCAACAAGGGGTTGACATCCAAAATATATAAAAAGTTCACATGCTTCAACAACCAAAAAGCAAATAACCCGATTAAAAAATGGGCAGAGGATATGAACACACACTTCTCCAAAGAAGAAATTCAGATGGCCAACAGACATATGAAAAGATGTTCCACATCACTAATCATCAGGAAAATGCACATTAAAACCACCATGAGATATCACCTCACACCAGTAAGGATGGCCAGCATTGAAAAGACTAGGAACAACAAATGCTGGCAAGGATACAGAGAAAGGGGAACCCTCCTACACTGCTAGTGGGAATGTAAGCTAGTTCAACCATTGTGGAAAGCAATATGGAAGTTCCTCAAAAAACTAAAAATAGAAATACCATTTGACCTGGGAATCCCACTCCTTGGAATTTACCCAAAGAATACAAGTTATCAGATTCAAAAAGACATATGCATCCCTATGTTTATCACAGCACTTTTTACAATAGCCAAGAAATGGAAGCAACTTAAGTGTCCACCAGTAGATGAATGGATAAAGAAGATGTGGTATATGTACACAATGAAATACTATTCAGCCATAAGAAGGAAACAAATCCTGCCATTTGCAATAACATAGATGGAGCTAGAGGTTATTATGCTCAGAGAAATAAGCCAGTCAGAGAAAGACAAATACCAAATGATTTCCCTCATTTGTGGAGTATAACAACAAAGCAAAAAGTGAAGGAACAAAATAGCAGACTCACAGACTCCAAGAAGGGACTAACAGTTACCAAAGGGGAGGGGTGGGGAAGTGTGGGTGGGGAGAAAGGGAGAAGGTGATTGAGGGATATTATGATTAGGTCACATGGTATGGGGGGATCATAGGGAAGACAGAGTAGTACAGAGAAGAAAAGTAATGACTCTGTGGCATTTTACTACACTGATGGGCAGTGACAGCAATGGGGTATGGGGGAGGGGATCCGATAATACGGGTGAATGTAGCAGTCAAATTGTTTTTCTTGTGAAACCTTCATAGGAATGTATATCAATGATACTTTAATTAAAAAAATGAAATCTTGCCATTTTGCAACAACATGGATGGAGTAAGTGAAATAAGTCACAAAAAGACAAATACTATATGATATCACTTATATGTGGAATCTAAAAAACAAAACAAATGAACAAACAAAACAAACAGACTCATAGACACAGAGAACATACTGGTGGTTGCTCTTGGGTAGGGTGTGAGGGTAAGTGAAATAGGTGAAAGAGATAAAGAGGTACAAATATCCAATTATAAAATAAATGACTCATGGAGATGAAAGTAGAACATAGGAAATACAGCCCATAATATTGTTGTAGCTGCATGTTGATAGATGGTAACTGCATTGTGGTGAGAGCATTTAGTAATGTATATAAATATCGAATCACTATGTTGTACACCTGAAAGTATATTTTAATTAAAAAAGCAAAGAAACTACTCATTAGTCAACAACAATAATAATATTGAACAATTATTGAGCATTTACTAATCAGGCAGTATACTAGGTTCTTTTACATAATTATCTCATTTAGTTCTCACCATATATCCTCTCAGTTTGGACCCACTGTGCAGATGGAGAAATGAAGCCTAAAGTAACATCCCCAAAGTTTCATATGTACAAATAGCCATGCTTACTCCATGCTGTAAATGGAATGTGTTCTCCCAAAATTCATATATTGTAATCCCAACCCCCAAGGTGAGGGTATTCAGAGGTGAGAGGCATGTGGGTGGTGATTAGGTAGGTCATAAGGGTGGAGCTTTCATGAACAGGATTAGTGCCCTCATAAAAGAGGCCCATCAAGAGATGGAAAAAGATGGCAGAGTAAGAAGGAAAGGTGGAAACCTCCGCCCACAAACACCAAGGAAGCGACTACAGCAAATCACAACTCAACCTGAAAACCACCTAAAGACTGCAGAACAGACCACCTACACCTGGGGAAGAAGAGAGACCACACAGAAAAGGGGAAAGTGGCAGAATCACAACCAAGCAGGACCCAAGCTCTTCCCCCATCCCAGTGCACATATGGGAGGAAGAGGAACAGAGCAGGAAGGGGATAGGTGTCCAGGAACTCTGCACACCTGGCCCCGGAGATTGAGTCCACATGCATCAAGTTCCAGTGATTGGCAGGGCTGGACATCAGGGACAGTTGGAGCACTCTGGGAGTCTGAAACTCCAGCTGCTTGTGGAAGACAGGCAATGCTCTGCTGGTTCCACTGAGACCCAAAGCAGAGGCAGCCATTTGAAAGACTTGGCAGCAGTGGGAGAGGTGCCAGAGGGGTGAGGGTTGGACAGAGCTCTCTCTGCAGGAGAAAGGGCAGGTGGATGATATGTCCCCAGCCCTCCCTTCACCCAACATCTCAGGAGCCCCAGATGCTCCAACCCCCTTGCTAATGGCTCAGCCCCAAGGTGCTTTCCTGCATGCACCCACCCACATGTCAGCCCCCTTGGCCCAGCAGCATCAGACTTTGCTGCCTAACAGGCAGAAGGAGGCTCTCAGCCCTATCTCATCCCAACTGGGGAGGTGCCTGCAGGAGCCAGTTTCAAGAGCTCCTTTCTCCCTGCAGGCATTGAAGCCCAGTGCTGTATCCCTTGACTCCACTATGGGGTCACGGCAGGACTCACTGCTGCAATGTGACTGGCTACACCCCTCCCTGCCTCAGAGCCTCAAAACCACCCCTCCTTTGCTGGAGGGCATCCCTGCCATTGCTGTAGGGCAGGAAGAAGGCGGCCCTGCCCACAATGATCCCAAAAGAAGCCACGGCTCTGATCACAAAGGGTGGGATAAAGCAAATTGCTAGCCACAGTGGACTGAGGCCACTGCCAGCAGACAGACAGAAAGGCAGCCATGTCCACTGCCCACCATTAGCAACTGGGGCTCCATTGCAAAGGAGAACCAGGCACTGGACAATACAGTCTTGAGCTTCTGGGCCCCACAGGATGTCTTCTTCATAAAGGCATTACTCTCTAGACCAGGAAGTATAGCAGATCCATCTAATAAAAAGGAAGTAACACAGAAACCCTGACAAAATTAACAGGCAGAAGAATTTGTTCCAAACAAAGCTATAGGATAAGACACCAGAAAGAGGGCTAAATAAAATAGAGATATTACCAATCTTCTTAATAAAGATTTCAAAGTAGAAGTATAAATATGCTCACCTATCTGCAGAAAAGTATTGAAGATCTTAGGGAGGACTTCAACAGAGATACAAGAGCTGAAAAAGAGCCACTTAGAGCTGAAAAATACAGTAACTGAATAAAATATACAATGGAGGGAATGAATAATAGATTGCTGCAAGTAGAGGAGACAATGAGATGGAAAATAGAGAACAGGAACACAACAAAGCTGAGGAAAAGATGGAAAAAATAATTTCTAGTAATGAAAGAATGAAAAGAGAGCTGTATGACCAATCCAAATGAAACAATATTTGCATAATATGGGTATCAGAAGGAGAAGAGAGAAATAATGGGATAGAAAGTCTGTATTAGGAAATAACTGTTGAAAACTTCATCAATCTGGGCAAAGAAATAGACTCAGGTTATAGAAACTCAGAGAGCCCTTAACAAAAAGGAGCCCCAGGATGATAAGATCAAGACATATAATAATTAAAATGGCAAAGATTAAGGGTAAGGAGAGTATTGAGAACAGTCAGAGAGAGAGAAAAGATTACTTACAAGGGAAACCCCATCAGGCTATCAGCAGACTTCTCAGCAAAAACTTTACAAGCCAGAAAGAGTGGCATGAAATATTTAATGTACTGAAACAAAAGGACCTTCAACAAAGAATCCTCTACCCACCAAGATCATCATTCAAATTTGAAGCAGAGATTAAAGAATTCCTTGACTCCACTATCAAGGAATCAAGGAATTTATAACCACTAAACCAGCATTACAGGATATGTTAAAGGGACTGCTGTAGATGGACATGTTCCTAAGCCTAAATAGTTTTCAACAGTGAAAATAAACCCAAAGTAAAATAGTAGACCAATTAGCTATCAAGAAAATACAAAGTCAAAACAAAATAGTATAACCAACTATACAGAAAATCACTCAAAGATACACAAAAACTGCAGATTATGACATCTAATACATAAAGTGTGGAGGAGGAAGAAGAAAAAAAAGTAGTTTTAGAATGTGTTTGAAACAGAGTAATCACCAACTAAATATAGACTTTTATAGAGTCAGGAAGCCATCCTTGAACCTTATGGTAACCACAAACCTAAAGCCTATAATAGATACACAAAAAATTAAAAAAGAGGAATCCAATCACAACACTAAAGAAACCATCAAATAACAAGATAAGAGTATAAGAGAGGAAGAAAGGAACAGAGAGGAGCTACAGAAACAACCAGAAAACAATTAAGATGGCAATAAAGCACACACCTATCAATAATTATCTTAAATGTAAGTGTACTGTGCACAAATCAAAAGACAGAGTGGCAGAATGGATAAAGAAACAAGACTATCTATATGTTGCCTTCAAGAGGCTCATTTCAGACCCAAAGTACACAGACTAAAAGTGAAGGGATGGAAAAGATATTTCACACAAATAGTAGGGAGAAAAAAGCAGGAGCAGCAGTACTCATATCTGACAAAATAGATTTCAAAACAAAGAAAGTAACAAAAAAACAAAGACATTACATAATGATAAAGGGATCAGTCCATTAAAAACATCTATGTACCCAACATAGGAGAACCCAAATATGTAAAACAAATACTAACAGAATTAAAGGGGGGAAAATAATAAAAGAGGCCCATGAAAGCTCCTTTGTCCTATCTGCCATTTGAGGGTGCAGCAAAAAGACACCATCTATTAACCACAAACTGAGTCTTCACCAGGCATTGAATCAGCCAGCACCTTAATTTTGGACTTCCCAGCCTCCAGAACTGTGAGCAATAAATTTCTGTTGTTTATTAGCCACCCAGTCTATGCTATTTTTGTTATAGCAGCCCATACAAAGATACTCTGGCTACTGCCTTGTGTTTTAACATTATCTACCTAAGATTAGAAAGCTATAGAGATTTATTTTTTACTTACTTTGAAGCAAACATATTCCATGCTTTGCCCACAACCATATCAAGTGGTTTTACTAAGAACTGGCTATTGCTGACCAATGCTGCAGACTTCTCATATTTGCTAAAGGCTCGCTGGGTTTTCCATACACTGAAAGCATTCACAGGTTCTAACCAGGAAGTATACAGGGCTGGATCTTTAAATCCCCCTATAGTAAAAAGACAGAAATGTTGTTTACATCATAAATTATTAGTTCTGGGAACAAATAAATGTATATTTTATTTTCTATTTCACCAGAAATCTTTTGTTTTACCTTTTAAAACTAGCTTTGTATTGCTTTTGGATAAATGATCCACCTTTGTATAAAGAAAAAGTAACAGTTCACACCATTCAGGAAAGTATTAAGAAATTTAAAAGTCAACTGAACAGCTGAAATGCCACCAGCCATTTTACTGACCCTCTTGTGAATGTAATTTTACACACATGCTTTTCTGTAACCTTCAGTTTTCATTTACTAATGTTGTGAGCCTCTTTTCCATGTCAATAAATATCACTCATATTTAAAGTCTCCTTATATGAATATACCCTATTTTATTTAACACATTTCCTATTGTTGGGCATTTAGATTGTTTCCACATTTTTGTTAGTGTGAAAGATATTGCAATGAATATCTCTGCAGGTACACCTCTCTGCACCTGTGCCATTTGCTCTCCATAAATTTTGGAAGTTAGATTACTTTATATATCTTTTTATTCTCCTTAAGTCTAAAATGAAGAACATGTAAGAAACTATACCATCTGATTCACTTGAAATGACCTCTTCTTAATTATTACTAGTGTTTTTTATCTAAGGGAATTACAGGGACTAGGTTGTTTGGTTTTCTTTATATCACAGCTAGAAGAAGCCAATTTCATATGGCTGAAATCAAGTACAGATAATAGAAACCTAGATACTTGCCACAGAAATAAAAAGCTAATAAAAGTACTGCTCTTTCAACTTCCTGAAATTTTTTTAACAAAATGACTGTCACAGAGACCACAAGCTGTGCCCCATTACCTGTTCTCCCCTCTGCTAGAGTAACAGAGCCCCTGAATTTTAGCAGTGCTCACGGCCCCCCTTGCAGCCACGTGTGGCACATGACTCAGTCCCAGTCTAAGGGATAAAAGCACAAGTGTGGTATGTGACCTTAGAACAAGTAGGCCTTCCTGCCTTTGCTCATTCCTTTGATTTGATGGCTGAAGCTCAAACAGATGTCTTGGACCATAAGGAGGAAGCCCCAAGGTGAGAACAGACAGATTCAGGAAGAAAGAGTTAAACTTGTATTTGTTTAAACCATTTCTACTTTGGTGTCCAGTCACATACTAATTGACACATTGATTACATTTTGCTTTAAAGCACATAGTTAATATTTTCCTTTCTTTAAGAAGAATTTCAGGGATTTCCTTTTTTTTTTTTTTACTATGTGTACCATGCATGTGTACAAAATGTACATCTTAATTTTCACCTTAACTTCTGCTTACCCAGATCTGCACTGTGCACATCTTTCCCACGAAGGATAACCAAGTTAGCAATGGAAGTATTAAAACGAAGCTCCTTATTGAGAGACATTTTACCAACAGTAGGAAGTCTTGATGAGGGTGGCCGCACCTGCCAATCGATACCTACCAAAATTTAAAAAAGGAAGAGATTTTATAAATGGCCTTGAACAAGATGAGAAAAATGTATTAACGTACTTGACATAAATTTTTATTTGGTAAGTAAAAGGTTTTTTTCTGTTAAAAGCTTAAAAATTCATCTCTGGTTGATCTAAAGATTCAAAGTATTCAATCCTGAGAAAAGAGTAAAGTATTCATCAAATATTAAAAGATGGTGGTAGGTGCATATGATGGAATTCTATCCAGCAATAAAAGGAAACTACTGATCCATGTAACAGCATGGATAAATCTACAAAGCATTATGCTAAGTGAACACAAGCTTGACTCAAAAAATTACATACCGTATGATTCCATTTATAGGATGCTTTGGAAAAGGAAAAACTGTAGAAACAGAATTCAGATCAGTAGTTGCTAGGGGTTGGGATGAAGGCAAGAGACTGCCTACAAAGGGGTATGAGGGAACTTTTTGGAATGATGGAAATACTTTATCTCAGCTATAGTGGTGGTCACGTACTGTGTAAGTTTGTCAAAATTCATAGAACTATACACATAAAAAGGGTGAACTCCACTTATATACCTTTATGAACAAACAAAATACATACAAAAATGTTAAGAGATGTAGAAACAAAACAAAAATAGGATTGGAAATTACTTAGTTGTATGGAAATACTAAGAAAACACTCAAATTATACAGTGGGTAGGGATAAAATTCATTGTGCAGTAACACTGATGTTCAGCAAAAATAGAAATAAACAAAATTAAAAATTAGCATGCAGAGCTTAATAGGACACACGAGCCAATTTAAAAATTGGAAAGATGTCTGAATAGAATTTCACCAAAGAAGATAAACAAATGGCTAATAAGCACTGACAAGATACTCAACATCACGGTCATTGGGAAAATGCAAAGTGAAACCACAAGGAGACACCACTTTGCATCTATTAGAATGGCTATAATCAGAACTATCAGCTGTTGATCAAGGATGTGGAAAAACTGAAACCCTTTTAAATTGCTTGTGGGAGTGTAGAATAGTGCAGTAACCTTGGAAAAGAGGTTAGCAGTTTTTAAAAATGTTTAAAATATAGACTTATCCGTTGACTCAGCAGTGCCACCCCTAGGTATATACCTGAGAGATATCCACACAAAGACTTGTATACAAACATTCACATAGCATTATTCTTAATAGCCACAATGTGAAAATAATCTAAATGTCCATATACTGCTGAGCATAAGGATAAAATATGCTATATCCATTCATGGAATACTATTTAGCAATACAAAGGACTGAACTACAGATACATACTATAACATGGGTGAACCTCAAAAACATTATGTTAAGTGAAAGAAGTCAGACACAAAAGACTACATATTGTAAAATTTCATTTATAGAAAATGTCCAAAATAGGCAAATCTACACAGACAGAAAGCACATCGGTGGTGGTTTAGGGCTATGAATAAAAATGGGGATTGACTGCAAATGGACACAGGAATTTTTTGGAGTGGATTATGATAATGGTTGCACAACTTTGTAAATTCACTAAAAAACTAACTGAATTGTAGTCTTGTAATAAGTGAAGTATACAGCATGTAAATTGTATCTCAGTAAAACTATTCAAAAATTTACCACATGCTGTCAAAGTTGTAACTGTTAGATCTCATCACTCTGTAATACTCAGAAATAAAAAGTAGTAGTCACATCTACCTAAAAGTTTCTAAAAAGAAAAAGAAACAAAGCCAATCCAAAGTTGAGCCCTTGAAAAGCTGATGTTCAAAAACGAAAAAGGAAAAATTGGGCAAATAAAATTTAACATGGGAAAAGAAATAACAAAAAGGGCATTATCCCAGATGAGTTTAAATTTAAAAATTAAATGGAAAATATTTACATTACATACAAATATATACTCCATATAACATTTATAATATAAACATATTTATAGTAATATAATACAAATATAATATTTAAATAATATAAATATATTTATATCAATACAAAATATTAAATACAAAATTATACAAAATTGTGGGAAATAATATATTTTTATCAAAGAACATTTATATATATTTGGGGTAGGCAAGGCCCAAATGTCTATAAAAGATGATTTATAGGTTTAGTCACATAAAAATATAAAACTTCCATATGATAAAAAACACCATATAGACAAAAATGATGTGCAAAAAATGTCTGCAATCCATGTAACAAAAAAGAGGTATAAATCCATATTTCTTTCCATCTGAAACATCATTGATTATAAGAAAAAAAATGTCAATTGTCAAAATATTCACTTAGATTATTAAATTTTATATTTATTGAAAGAGTTCTAGAGTAAATTAGGTTTAAATCTTAGAAAATCATATCATTCTTGAGCAAACATAAAAACATATATATAACAAAATTAATTGGTTAAGGTTTTCCTAAAATGTTTTCTCAGTCAGTGACTTCATCACTTCTTTTTTTTTTTTTTGAGAGGGCATCTCTCATATGTGTTGATCAAATGGTTAACAACAATAAAATTCTGTATAGGGGACTCAATGCACAATCATTAATCAACCCCAAGCCTAATTCTCAACAGTCTCCAATCTTCTGAAGCATAACGGACTTCATCACTTTTTGACTCAGCATTAATGATGCTCCTGTTTTTTCACACATTATTGTCCTCTCTGCCTCCAGAACAGCAACAGGCAGCATTTCTTAAAGGAACCCATGAAGCACAGTCATTGGCTCTTCAACTGGCTTTGCAATCACGTAGAGCACGTTTACCTTTGACTCCTGCTTAAGGAATGTCGCTAAACTTGTCTGTTTACCATGATGAATGCCTCTTCCCTACCTCAGCAGAAAACTACGTATTTTTTTCTGGAGAGGATTTGATAGGAGGGTCTCTGGTCTAGAGAACACCAGGCAGAGTCAAGGGCGGGGAGCATATGGCAAAACCAGGAAAACCGTGACCCCTCCCTCTCCTTCCCCCAGACCCCTGGAGCTTTGTCTCAGCCCTTTGAGCCCCACATTTAACACAAGAGACAGGCAAAGAGAATATCCAGGATGACAAATGTACACTGGCTGTAGAGGGCACAAAAATCCAGACTGAAGCAGGGCAGAAGGCTTTAGGAGAAATTTCTTGAAGAAATGAAACTGATAAGAATATTTGAACATATCAAGAAAAATATTTAAGAGAAACACTCTTTCAACTTAGAATAGAATAATTGGTAGGTACATAGAAAAAAACCAAGCAAACAAGAAAACAAGGCAATTATTAACTGCAAAGAAAATAAAAAAATTTTACAGGAAAGAAAACATAATCCCAGGATACTATACAGCCAATTGTGAATAGCATTTACTCAATCATGATAATGTGAAGCTGAATATGGCTTTAACCCAAAGACGACATTACCACATTGGAAGGATGAGGAGAAAGAAGGGTGTATGTAGGGCTTACACTGTGGGGGAAAAACCTACAGTGGGGAGTCCATAGGTAATGCCTAAATAATTGGGGGAAAAAAATGGCAATAAATAGATAAAAACAGTAAAAGAACCAGCAAAAGAGTTTTGAAAAAAATGTTTGCCTCTGAAAAGAGAAAATGGAGGAAAGTTATGGACTGTTTTTAACAAGTAGTTTTGTAGAATGACTTGACTCTTTGTGTGCTTCTAACAAATCATGGCACATACATAGTAGAAAACTACATAGCTATCGAAAAGAACAAGGCATGCCTAAATGTACTGAACTGGAAAGGGCCACAAAATATTGTTATGCTGAAAAAAGGGCTATAAAACAAAGAACCAAGAATACATATAATGTGATGCCTGTTTTATTTTTTTAAGTCTATTTTTGTACACCCTTAGAATTCTAAGTCTAGTTCTCACATGAATAAATTAATCCAAACTAGCAAAAATAAAATCACCTAATAAAATTTTGAAATAGTGTTTTAAATAAAACTTAAAAATAAATAATTAAGTAAAACTAATTTAGCTTGGTTCATAGGGCCAAGCCAAAAGCCATGGAAAATTATTCCTAGGCTTTACATTTTAATCATGCCAACATGTGCCCTGCTGAATTGTTATGGATCAATGACTCCCGTGTGCCTTCCATTTACCCCTTTTCGAAAGAGTGTGGGTTCCAGTTATCCTATGCCTGTCCACCCATGGTCTGCTGGGTGGGGGGCTGTATTCAAGGGCTACATGCAAGAAATCCGAGTATATAAATCCACACCTGCACCTGTTTTTAGATGGCAAGATTCTGGATGTTAGGCTGATGTGCTAATGGAATATAACCTTTGGGGGCCTTGGGAGGGGTTAAGTACATCCCATATATGGGAGGACAAGACTCACTAGGGGACAGAGGGTCAGAGAGTGGTAGCCAGCCTCCAAGATGAACCGCCATATCCTTGCCTCCTGGTGTTCAGGCCTTTGTGTGGTCCCTTCCCTCACAGGATAGGACTGGCCTTAATAACCAAAAGGATGGTGTAGAAATGATGGTGTATGATTTCCAAAGATAGGTCATAAACTACATTGTAACGCCTGCCTGGCTCCCCCTTGGATCACTCCTTCCTCCTGCTGCTAGGGCATGTGGAAGCAGGGACACTGCTGATGGCAATATTAATGGGGTCAGTCTTCCTACAGAGCAGTTTGATAACATATGAATAACTTTAAAACTATACCCTTCAACCTGGCTAGTGACATAAATATATTTATTCATATATTCATATATATATATATATATATCAAAACATTCAGTCAAAGGTCTATCTGTAACTATGAACAATGTTGATGTCCTAAAAGCCTGCATGGGAAAATGACTAAGCAAACTATGGTTTATTGACCTAAGAAAATTCAGAGCAGCATGTCTTAAAGTACCTGGAGGAACACTGTGTTCCTTGAGATGTTAACAAGTATTGCTAGAAAAACAGGTACTGTGGCCAAAACATTCAGGAAGCATTACTTTAAGATGTGAACTGTCTACTTATCTCCAGGCTTCATGCACTATACTCTAAAATCCAAAAGGTGTTATAAGTACATGTAGAGAAAATCCACTTTCATAGTATTGAATCCTGTTATCATCATTTGTAGTAAAATATACACTACTAAAATAATACACAGTAGTGATTTTCAGTTAAATACGACAGACTGAACTATCAGTTTATGCTACTCTCTCCCCAAATCTCACTAACAACACAATGCAGGATTTTTTTAAAGGCATAAACAAGAAAATAGGGAATGGGAAAGAAGATAATGGCAACAAAATTTTGGAAGATGGAAAGCAAGTGAACATGACTTAGCAACCAGGGAAAATATGAAGCTTCTGCCCACAGTGGATGTCCTGGAAGTAGGCCAGGCACTTCTAAAAGAGGAACACAGGACAATTAATTAAAAATCTCTATGAGAAGCATAAGAGCCCCAGGCCCTTGCCCACTCCCTGCAGAAGGTGGAGTGACCCCCTCCATCCAAGAGGAAGGTTTCTACCAAAGAAAGGCCAAACCAGGAAGGCTCTGGCCTCAGAAACACCCCGCTGGGCCACTGTTCCAGGCTCTGAAGATAGAGCAGTAAACAAAACAGATACAAATCCCTGCCCTCATAAAGTTTACATTGTACTGAGATAAGTGAAAGATCCACCCTAAGGAATGCCAGAATGCTAGAGACAAGGAGGAAAATCCTGTAAGATTCAAGAGAGAACAAAACAGGAATAGGAATCAGATTGATGTGGGACTTCTCAACAACACTGAAAGCTGGAAGATAATAGAGTAGTGCCTTCAAAATACTAAGTAAAAATGGTCTCAATCTCAAATCCTATACCTGGCTAACCTATCAAGCAAATGTAAGGGCAAAATAGAGACATCTGCAGCCCTAAACTTTTTACCTACCCTGTACTCTTCCTTAGGAAGCTCCTGGAGGGTATGGTCTATAAACATGGGGGAATAAACCAAGAAAGAGGAAGATTCTGAAATCTAGGACATGAGGGACAGAACACAGAAGGAAGCAGAGATGCCAGCACTGGCTGCTTATCAAGCCTAGAGAGCAGCCAGCACAGACAGAGCAGCAGGATGAAAGCCTCCTAAAGGGACCTCTCCAGCAGATAATGAGAGTAATAGATGATCTGATGGGCTTGAACATGTTGAGAATGGATTCATTTTTATGGAAAACTGTACAGATAGATTAGTGATAGGCATACAGAATAAGTATATAATCTGTGTATATATACATGGCTGAACTGTGAATAATATTTACATAGCAAAAATAATACCAACACTGAAAACTGATCTGACCCAAAAGTATATTATAACTATACTGGGAGGAAGGAAGGAAATAGAGGTGTGTGTATGTGTAGAGGGGATATAAGAAGATTCAATTTTCTATTTCACATTAGGAAGGCAATTGGTTATATCTAAACCTAGAAAGTAAATACAGTATAAGCAAGGTATTTAGAAATACAGAGGAAAATTCCAGAAGAAACAGCTAAAACCATTGAAAGTAGTTTCAGGTGGGCAGCATGGAAGTACAGGATAGGGAGCTGCTCTTTTCCTCATCATAAATTCATACTGGACAAATAATTGACTTTTTAAAAAAACTGAGATATAATTTACATACAATGCAATGTATGGATTCAAGTATACACTTAAATGAGTTTTGACTACTTGATTTTTTTAAGCTATGTTCATATATTACTTTTGATAAAAATAAAATAAAAATAAATGTCACACTCATCTGAAATTTTTTGGGGGAAATAAAACTGAGAAGTGATTAATAAATCTTCTTGGTGAATTAATAAATGTCTTGGTGAGTTTTTGCAGGAGCCTCCCTGGCTAGAAGAAGGCACCATTATTTCAACTGGCCCAAGTCAACTTTGAGAACTCCAGTACAGGCATTTTTCCCAGCTTGGGGGCTGCATATTTTTAAAATACCCTTTACCTTCTTCCATTTTTGCATTACAAATGAGCATCTGTCTCAAATGCTTGAGGAGGCCAGCCCAAGTAAATGAGCTATATGCCAGTGAGTTCTCAGACAGTTGAGGAATGTTACGAACACCCAGCATCTTGAATTCAGGATGGGGAACTAAATGCTCCATTAAGTCTCCTGTAAAGAAAAAAAAAAAATGAACCAAATTTTTAAATTCCACATTGTTTCTCTTGGCACATACATAATCATGACTTGATGGTTTTGTGGGCCAAATGTGTTTTCTCTTCCCAAGCCAGAATTGCTTATATTTTAAGACATAAATAGAATTTCAGAGACAATGCCTATTCCAGAACACATACTTGCTTCATTCTGGCACCTATTCTTAGCATGAGTGAGAAAACATGCTTTTCCAAAAAGGAAACAAGAGTTTAGAAGCTAAGTAACTAGAAATGTGAATGAAATTTTAAGTTTAACCCTAGGAAAACAAAGTAAGCATGGGAGCTAATATGATTTCATTTGTCATTCTGTGTTTGTTAAATATTTCTTGGGAAATTTTCCTAGATTTCTTATTTATTTTATCTGGTTAAAGGATAATCAGAACCTGTTAAAACCAAACTCTATTAGGAAAGAAGACAGGATTAGCAATTTCTGAAGACAGGAATATGCTTATCTTTAGAAACTTGTATTTGTAATGAAATAGAATTGAGGAGAAAGGCTCATTTGTTTTGCATTCAGAGCTGTTTTATATATTTTTAGAAAATACCTAGAGCAGAGAGAATATATTACCATAACATGAAATGTATGTTTAATAACAACTGTTAGTGCAAACTTGTATCCTATGTCCTAATGAAAAATACAAATTTTGACACAAACATCTACAAAATGCTGAACAAATTGATTTTATGGCTAGTGAGTTTCCTCTAAACATAATCCTTTTCTGTAAAATACCTAGAGCTGAATTCTATTGCATAATACAAATAAACAAACAGAAGTCAACAAATACTTCTTGAGCACTAATGCATGAATTATTCATTATCACAATCTGCTTTTCCCTCTAGGCTTCCTGTTCACCTACTCTCAACTTAACCATTCTGGAACCTTGTTAAGTAAGATCCTGCAGTGGACTGAAGGTTTGTGTCCCCCAGATTCATACATAGAAATCTTAACCCCCAAAGGTAATAGTATTAGGAGGTGGGGCCTAAAAAATCTTTTTTAGACACATTATGCCTGGGATGTCCATGAAATATGTACACATAGATGTCAGGAAGGCTGCTGCATGTAGAAATCTAGAGCTTAGGGAATTGGCAGAGTTGGAGATAAACTGGCAGGTTGTAGAACACAAATTTACAAATGGCATTTAAAGCCATGGAACTGAGCCAGTCACCTGGGGAGAGAGTCTAAGACCAGCATTTAGAACTTGGGAAAAGGAGGAGGAGCCAAAATAGAATAAAGGAAAAAGAGAGGAGTAGTCACTGAGATAGGAGGGCAGTCAAGAGAGGGGCTGTCAAGAAGACAAAGAAGAGACTGGGAAGACAAGGGATCAGCCATGCCAAATTCTCCTGAGAGGCTGACGGACATGAGTGCAGCGGAGGGTCCATGGAATGTGGCAATGTGGATATGCTTGTGACTTGTAAAAACCAATGTCAGAAAAGTGATGGGGGACAAAACTAGATCAGAGTGGGTTGAAGAGTGAACAGATGGTAAGGAAATGAGGACAACAAGGACAGACACCCCTTTGAGGATGACAGTTCTAATGAATAACAGAGAATAACAGCAATCACAAGACATGATGTCAAGGGAGGATTTTTTTCAGTGTGAGAGATGCCGTGAGTAGTCGTATAATCCAGGAAAGAAGCATAGTTAATGACATGGGGGGATAGAATTAAGTTCCTGAGAAGAGGGAGGGAATGGGAGCCAGGACCTCAGCAAGAGGCTGGCCTTTGACAGGAGCGGGACACTTCTCCCACTATGACATAAAGTGAAATGCAAATGTGGGCCCAGCACAGAAAGGTTTGTCACATTGTGGTGGGAGTCAAGGGAGCTCCTGTCTAACTAATTACCTTTATTTTCTTGTGCAGTTCAGTGAGTTCAAGCCATTACAGTCTCTCCAGGGAATGCGCAGACCAGCTGCAGGCTCAACCTCCAATCAGCTCTCCACAAGCAGCCCAGTGGATCTTTTCAAAAGTAAAAGTCACCAACCTGCTTAAAATCCATCATTGGCTTTCCCCAGTTCTTAAGTTGAGGAAAGCCTTTAAATGGCTTACAAGGATCTGCCAGGTCTGCCCCTGCTCACTACCCTAGCCTTAGATTTCAGTCATCCCTTACAGCATTCTCTACACTCCAGTAACACTGGATTTCTCTCTGTTCTTGATGTGCCATGCTTCCGTCTGCCACAGGGCCTTTGCACACTCTATTCCCGCTGCACATGTTATTCCTTTCTCCCTCCCTTTGCTTAGTCAACTCCAAGTCCTCATCCAGCTCTTGCCTCAAGTATTATTTCCTTGAGGCAAGAAATGCCTCTTTGGCCTAAGTCTGGTTCATTTGTGACATATTCTCTTGGAACTGCACTCCTTTCCTTCAGAGTATTTAACTCACTTTATAATTACATATTCTTGGTGTAATTATTTGTTTAAAAATAACGGTGGGTTTCTTTATGAGGTGATGACAGGATGGTTGTACAACTTTGTGAATATGCTTGCAAAAAATCCACTGAATTGTACACTTTGAATTAGTGAATTGTATGGTATGTCAGTTATATCTTGACGTTGTTGTAAAAAAAAAAAAAGGGAAGGATCCTGAAGAATGGAGTCAGTGAGTATCCTCTACTCTTGAGAAATTTAGTAAACGATCAAAACTTTTCAATAGGACTGTTCAGAGAGCTAAGCACCTCCTTAGGAAGGTTTTTGAGATGAGAGAGACATGAGTATATCTGCAGGCAGAGGGGAGGAGCCAGAGAAGACTGCCTTTGAGGCTTTCAGAAGGTAAGACTTTCATACAAATAACATACAGGAGAACAAATACCTAATGGATTTCTTCTGTAGTGACATGAGCCTTCTAAAGAATAAGTAGGCTGGAACACATTTCCCAGCTGATGTGCAAGGACCTGATTTATATCTTTAAAGGAGATATGCTTGATATCCATCAGTTTTGCACAGATCTTATGAACAGCATCATTCTCATGAACAAGGAGGGCATCTGAAGATCGGTACAAGTGAGAAAGAGTCAAAATGGAGTTGTAGTTCTGAACAATAACCTGTAGAGAAAAAGGTCAGACATAAAAAAATAAGGAAAGAATAGCAGTTAAGAGGGTAAATTCAAAGGGCATCCTGCCTGTATTCAAATCCTGGCTCTGTCATGCTCTAGCTCTATGATCCTAGACAAGTTATTTAGTATCTCTCTGCCTCAGTTTCCATACTTGAAAAATGGGCATAATAATTACACTGGCCTAGAGTTGTGAAACTTAATGACAGAATGCAAGTATTTTTAGAACAATGCCCTGTATATAGTATGGGCTCAAAAAATGGTGACTATTACTATCACACCTTCTTCCTATATCATTTCCTATAGTAACTTATCTCACCTCCATTTTTAATATTTCTCCTATGAGGCTCATCAACAGGGAATTGTCCTATATAGGAATTTCCTCACAATGGAAAGAAATGAAAATTCACTGAAGGCTGGCAATGCACAATGAACTCCAATGTGATGTCAAGGTCCCTGCTTCACATACTTTAGCCAGAGGGACTACCACAGGAATGGGTTTCTCAGAAAAGATGCACAACTGTCTTTGGAATCTTTAAAAATAAGGATACCTCATTCATTTGGAAAAGTTTAAGCAAAGTTAAATGAATTGTTCATGAAAATACCATACCGTGTAATCATTTCTGATGCAGTTAACATTTCCAAAGAAAGTTGTAAGGTCAATCTGTTAACTACATTTATTTCAGCTGCAAAAAATACAATACAGAATTTTCAATATGTTCATACCTCACCAGTTCCATAAGGCCATATAATATGATTCATTTTCAAAGAGTCTGAGTACTGATCTTGTAAATTCTGTGTAATGAAGGCTCCTAGTCCTGATCCTGTGCCCCCAGCCATACTCATTATGATGAAAAAGCCACTCAAAGAGTCACATTTCTCCACTTCCTTCTGGATTAGGTCCATTATAGATTCTTTATGCCTGGGTCCATGAACAGAGTAACTATGCAATAGGAATGAAAAAAACACCTTTCAATTTAAACCAGAGACATGCAATACAGAAAGAAAGATAAAGGATAGAGAAGGCTTTTTAAATCTATGGAAGTGAACTAACTCTCATGAAAGGTACAGCTATCCTGATTGACATTTTTTTTTGTAATTTTTATTATTATTATTTTTTATTTTGGTATCATTAATATACAATCACATGAGCAACATTGCAGTTACTAGATTCCCCCCATTATCAAGTCCCCACCACATACCCCATTACAAGCACTGTCCCTGATTGATAACATTTTAAATATACAAATTAAATATATATAACAGGTGGATAGGACTGCTAGTAGTGAATTTACTGGGTACACAAAATTCTCTTTTATAAGCCATTCTTTTAGCTGGGAACTTCAATTAAAAGGTAGTTCTGCAAGTTTGTGGCACAACATAATATTCAATATTCAAGACAATACCCCTAAAGCAGTGGTTCTCAAACTTTGCTGTATGTTAAATCTCAACATCTGGGCTTCATCCCAAACCAACTAAAATAGCTTCTGGATTGAGCCCTAGACATTGAATTTTTCCCAGAACCCCAGGAAATAATACTGCTTTGTCATATTCTCCTGTTAGCTGGAATACCTGCCACTTAAAGATAATGTATCGATAATAAGTTAGGTGGCAGAACGACAGTGAAGTAGAATAGTCAGCTACAAGAGATCCTTGGTTCCATCATTACCTAGACCTGAAGCACAGACATACATGAGATAGAATGACAGTTTCTCCTGGGTGAAGTCACAATCTAAATTTTAGAAAAGTAGTTTCAAGATTATGCACTTGGTATATCAACTGTGTGGTTTTAACTACACTGCCTATTAATCAACTATGTAGCTGTATCTAAACTGAAAATCACTGGAGAATTATTCTTACCCATATGCCCAGTTGTTTCCAGAACCTTGTTTTTGACAGAAGCATGAATGCTGGCCATATTTCCATCGGCCAGACTGGGCAGCCTTTGTGACTGTTTGATTAATAACTTTAGGTTCCATGTCAACAAGTACAGCCCGGGCAATTGACACTACAAAGGGAAAAAAAAAATCAAAAGAAAAATATTTTGTATATCTTATTTGGGTTAATTATGGGCCTAAAGGTTAAAAAATCCAACGGTTGAGGATAGAAAGGTCTATAATACTGCTTCGAAATCGAGGTGGGTAGCAGCAGATATATACAGATGGTTCATAATGTGTAGCGTTCTATTAAGCAGGATGAATCAGTATGGGCTAAAATGACCACTTGTAGACTTGTCAGGTCTACAAGCATCTGTTGTGTGCTTACAATGTGCTGTATACTGTACTGGGAATACAGAGATGAAGACCACATCAATCAAGCTCTAGAAGGACTAGTGGGAGAGATAAAACATCAATACTTAATCACAGTATGATGTGATACAACCCAAGACAAGAGGTACAAAATACTATGAGCATAGCAAGCAGCTCAGGATCGTTGAAGCAGAAGGTGGAGAAAGAGGGGGTGAAAAAAGTGATGGCTGAGGATGGAAAGCAGGCAGGGCTCAGATCTTGGAAGTCCTTACATGCAATGCTTAGAAGCTTAAAATTTATCTTTTAGGCAATGTGAAACCACTGCAAATGCTCAAGCAGGGGAGGAACAGTCAGACGTATTTTTAAATACAGCAATGTGGAGGATAGATGTGATAGACACGAGAGTTTATGCAGGGAAACTCAGAAGAAGTGTCTTCTTGAAACAATCCAGGTGAGAGAGGACAAAAGCCAGACAATGAAGTGGCATTAAGGTGATAAGAGTGCAGATGGAAAGGGGAGAAGTTTCAAGAGATACATAAGAGATAAATTAAGCAAATCTTGATGTCTGATGGTATGTGGGCAGTAAGTGCCCAAGTTTTAAAGGAAAGATAATGAATGTGTTTGGGTATGGATATGCTGAATTTGGGGAACATGTGGGAGATATGGGTGAAGATGTCCACTAATCAGTCTGTAGTCTGCAAGAGAGGCTAGGCTAGCCATTTTAGAATCACTAGTGTAAAAGACATACCAAATTAGGAGAGTAACTGAAACTGCCCAGAGAGAACTATACAAATGAGGACAGAGAAAAGCCTGAGATGCAACCACTGGAGAAGAAAAATTCAGAGACTAAGGAGAAGGCATTTCAAGAAGGGAGTTTTATAGTTAATGTTATAAAATTTGGTAGAGAAGTTAAGCCAATTAAAAAAAGAAGAGCAGCCATTGGATCTGATAATTAGGAGATCACTGGGAACTTTTCTTAGAGCAGCTTCAGCGGTGTTATAGAGGAGAAACAGGATTACAGTTGGTTAAAGAGTGTTTTCCTTTGAAAACTTAGATGAGAAGGCAAAGAGATATGGAAGAAAAAAGCTACAGTCAAGAGACAAATTTTATTTTGTTTGTTTGGTTTTAGATTGATGAGTTCTAAGCACGCTCACATGCAGAGAGAAAGATGCCACTGGAGAGGCAAAAGTTATTAATGTAGAAACAAAGGGCTGAGAGACAAGTCATTCCCAGTAAGATAGGAAGGGATTGGGTGTAGACACCGGGTGGAGGAGGGCCTTGCTTTGAAGAGACCGGTTATGTCAGAGAAAAGAATAGGACTGTGGACCACACATACCTCCATTTTCCTCCTCATTGAAGAATCTTTCTTTGCAAGATGCTTGGTATGCCTCATTCTCTCTTTTAGAGCAGAGTCCCTGGGGACAGTGTGAGTCACTAAATAGAGCATCAAACACTTCAAAACCAATCTGATTGCCACACTGACCAAGCTGCATTGTTACTATTGACATGCTGAGACACAAATACGGCCTATTCCTTTAAGAAAGTGAGCAACCTGTAACAGAAAAATATAGGCTTTGAGAACTACCACATTACCAATACATAAGGGATAAAATGCCATATGTGTTAATATACATCAGTAAAAAGTATAATTTTAAAGTGCTATATATGTGTATGTATACATACATGTATATATAGTATATGTATAGCACCATATATATGTATATATATATAGTCTTATAGATGAAATAGCTATGTTGTCTAAGAAGCTAATCATTCAAGGCAGTTGTTCTCTTTATATGCTTTTGGGATTTGGGATTTACTGTACACAAATCCATTCATACACAGCTCCATAGTTTACAAAATCTGATTTGTAATCTTAATTTTCCTAAACATGCATTTAAAATGAAATGAATGCTGGTTGAGGGAATTCACAGTACACATTTCAGACCACAGGGATACATAAAACACAGAAGTTAGCTCAACAATGGTACACTTCATTAACATTAATTTTCTTTCTTCTAAATAATGACTACTGTCTCCACCAATCACCTTTCTGGTCTGGTAACTACAATAACACTTTAAGAAAGACTTTGTATTTAGCTGAGGCAGGACAGCAAGGAAGATGAAGTATTAGAGCAAGTCTTCACTATTTTTAACAATAAAAAGAAACAATTTTTGGTAAAGACGTCACACCAGGTCTATGCAGCACTATAAAGAAGAGTGGTTCGTGATCCAGACTGTACTTATAATTTTCAAACAAACCTGAAAAAATAGGTATCACTATTCTCATTTTACAGATAAGGAAATTGAGGCTTTGAAAGGTTACGTGACTTCCGCAAGGATAGTGAACTAGTAAATAGCAAAGCAAAGCCTCTCCCTTTCCCCACCAACCTCAAAAGCTCCCCATTAACCCCACTCACTGACAGCCCCAGGACGCGCGACTTCTGTCCTATTCAAACTTCAGAGAGCCAAACGTCTCAGTACACGCATGCTCACTTTCAACACCAAACGAAACCTACGGAGAACGAATGCGCATGTCCTACAAACGAAGAGTTTTGTTATGGACTTTTTTCCCTGTTCAGAATGGTTAATCAGGCATGTTCAATTTTATCAATTTAAGACATGGTACGCATGCTCACGGTCCATTTAACGCTTTAGCTGAAAACTCGCACGGTCTGGCTTCCTAGAGAGGCTTCGTCTGTGGCTCTGCGCATGTTTCTGCCAGTACTTGGCGCCTGGCATTATTTCTACGCATGTTCATTGCCCACAGTTCGGCTTCACAGAACCCTGTGCGCAGGCTCCAGCGCTGAACTTGAGGAGCCAGTCTACGGCCCAGGCGCAGACGCACTGAGCCCAGGCAGCCGGTGATGGCGGCATCGGCGGCGGTGGCTGCGGCAGGTCCGGGCCCATGAGGCGACGACGGAGGCGGGACGGCTTTTACCCAGCGCCGGACTTCCGAGACAGGGAAGCTGAGGACATGGCAGGAGTGTTTGACATAGATCTGGACCAGCCAGAGGACGCGGGCTCTGAGGATGAGCTGGAGGAGGGGGTGAGGCCCGGGGTCCCGGGGGGCCCGAGGTGACAGGGCCAGGGCGCTGGCGTGGGCCGTGGAAGCCCCGCGCGTCTGAGAACGCGGAGACCCTTCGTGGCGCGAGTAGTCTCCCGGAGAAGCTCAGGCGCCGCGCGGCCCGAGGCAGGGGAGCGGGCGGGGCGGTCCTGGCCCTTAGGTGTGAGGCCGCTTAGGGGCTCGCAGGTGCAGGTAGCGCCCCTGAGCCCGAGGTCAGCGCAGCCTGGAGCAGTCTGTTCGTGGAGGGATCGAGAAAGGGCGCGTGGTGGATTCCTCGAGCTGTTGGACTTAAGTGTGGGTGCGAGTGCTGTAAGCGTGCGTGTGCTGGGGGAGGGGGACTGCGCTTGCTGGGTGTCCCGTAAGTGCAGGTGAAGCGGGAAGGGTTTCCCTTCGAGGATAAAATTTCAAGTATTAAACCTTCTGACCTCCCACAACCACCTCTCTTCTCGGCCTGTCGCTTCTCTCCTAGGAAGCGCTCAGCTGTTAGAAGTGACAGCTGAAAACTTCTGTCGGGAGTAGCGCTGCCGCTGCTGTTACAGCCACCAGGAGTTTTAATTCGGGAGCAAGGGGGCTCTGCTGCATCTTCCAGGGTTTGTTTGTTTGCTTTTTTTTTTTTTAAACCCCTTCCGTGTGACTTAAAAAAATCATTTTATAACGACACACGGCATTTGTAACTGACTTTCCCCCCAGTTGAAGATGTCTACATTTTTCAAATTTGTGTAATTTTGGGGTGGAAAAAAACCAGCATTGACAGCTGTGATTTGGCTTGCCAAAAATAAATTGCTTGAACTGAGACTTGTGAATGGTGGTGTGAGGGCTTTCCTTGCTGTAATTTAGAACACTAAATTTAGAACTGTTTTTCCTAATGCATAGCTTGGTTTTTACCTTTGCTGTCTTAGTAGTTTGTTATATGGGATACCATTCTTTTTTCAAGACTGAAAAATCACAGATTGCATCTGAAGTTCAAAAATGATGTTGTCATGCTAAGTCACTTATTCTGGGCAAATTGTCATCAAGGATAACCTAATGGTAATTTAGATTCTAAATTATCTTGTCTAGATGAGTAGGTTGGTTAATGACTGATTGTCAGATGTTTGCTTTACCTACTTAAGGGGCTTCCCTTTCCCTCACCCGATTTTCCTCCTCTGGCCAATAATTTGTGCCCTGCTTGTTGACAAAAGATTGAGAAGCTATATACAAAGAACTTCGAATACTTTAAGAAACTAAGTGGGCTAAAATAATACTGTTCTTTGCATAATCAAATGAGTATAAATCAAATTCATACAGTTTGGAAGGTGGATATTGGGATGTATACATTTAAATATATTTGTGTATGGAATTCCCAGTTAACCTCTTAATGGAACATGTGATACACTAAATAAAATTTGAAACAAATATGGGATTGCTTTCATTACATATAACATACTCTCATCAGTTATATGGGCTCCATATGGTAGTGGTTTGAAGAAGGGCAGGGGGGAAAACTGGGTAGGAAAGGGTGCTTTGTAAATCTGCATCAGTTGAACTGGTAGGATTTCTAGACCATGGGTTTATCAGTAGTGAAAGGGTTTGGAAGTAAAATACTGTGTTAAGATACTGTCATGAACTGGGACTTGTTGGGATATGTTTTGGCCAACAACTAGACATTTGTTTTTCTGGGTACAAGCAAATAGGATTTTGAGAGGGTGTGGAAGAGAACAGAGAAATAGGTGTAAGTAACGAAGAGAAAGAAATGTGCTTATTATTCTGGGAAGAGGAACTTTGGGGAAAGAGCAAAGGTGTTAAGGAAGATTTTGAGGAAGAACCTTCAGCCAAATATATCTTATTTAGCAGTGCTTCTGGAGTTGAAAATGTTTCTTTTGAGTTGTGTTGTACCAAGAGGTGCCTGCCTCGAGGTAGACAAGTAAAAAGAGTTGGAGTGCGATTGGGTTGGCCACTCAAGGAGAATCAGGGACATCCAGGTTTCTCTAGAATAAAATATAAAAATTTTGAAAAATGAGAGAAGTTCAGATTCTTGGAAAATCTGGCTCTTGTGAACTTACAATAATAGAATTAATATTTCAGCTATTTGTGAATTTATAACCTTCAGTACATAAACTTTTTAAACATTGGTACATATCAGAGTAATCTCACTTTTTTATAGTAAGGAAACTGAGGCATAGGCCCAGAAAGATGATTGCCCAAGACCACATAGATAACTAGTGGTAGTGCCTTCTGACTCAATTCAGCAAGCATCATTGCACAGGTTATTCATTTCATTTACTAGTCGTGTTCATAATGTACCTCTGTGTGGTGTGTCAAATTGAATTCAGATCCCTCCAGCCATGCTCACTGACTGTGTGACCTAGCATAAACTGTTTAATCTTGTTAACACTTTTTTCTCTATAAAATGAATTATATGAGATAAAGTATATAAAGTACTGTACTCAAAATATTCTGGCATATTAAGCAGTTATCTAGTTCATGGAAATATAGCTTGTCAGTGTTACTCATTGCCAAGGAACCAAGCATTCAAGTTTACCCTCATCTATGTCAATGGCAAGAGAGTTTTTTTGGGAGGTTGGGTTTGGTTCTTGTTTGTTTGTTTGTTTCACTAGTGGTGGTATAATTTGGGGACAGCGAGTTGAAACTAAGAAAGTTGTCCTTTTGAGATTTTTGTTAGATTATGAAAGTGTTGGAATCCTCTGCTTTCTGTGGAGACACAAGGTTAAAAGACTAATAGAAAATTATAATGCAATTAAGTTTGTTATTCTACTGATTCAAAATTTGACATAGTCACAGAGGTTTACTGCATGAGTTTCTGGTTGGGATATTAGATTTTTATTGAGCAAGAAGTTTAAAATTTTTTAGTGCTTTGAGAAACAAAGTGCTATATAGATACTATTATTCAAATATTCATGGTTATGAAAAATTTTAGAAAAACATCTTTTTATCAATGCTTATCTTGCATTATAATGGATACGTACCATAAGGCATTTTTAAATAGCCCAAGATTTTGGGCAAGGTTTACCCCTTTTCCCCAATTCATCTGAATTACCAAACCTTATTTTATAAGGAAATATCTGTGAACAGCCAGGCAAGTGGATAAATGATTTAATTAATACCCTGATTAAAGATATTTCACCCATTCTGTAACAATTCCTTTAAATATGTATAAAACATACTCTCTTTCATTGGGACTTCAGGCACATTAACTTGAATTTATATACAATTTTGAAGTTTTGCAATGGTCATTTTACTGGGCTAGTTTCAAACAGTGTATTTTGAATAGTACCTTAAGGAGCAGGATTTCACTTTGTCAATCATAGTGACAAACAAAAACATCATTGGATGGGTTACAAAGCTTAATGCAGCAGAAAAAAATCTGAATTCAGTTTCCTATGAAAGAGTTGTTGGTATGTCTTACATAGTGTTGGCTTGATGCTTCTGGTGTGAGACGTTTTTAAAGTAACACTGAGTAGCAATTGTGCCTCAAATGCTTCTGCTCCAGAAGGTAACGGTAGGAAGTTATAAGCACAGATGCAGGTGGTAATACAGGCCTGGCCAGCTCCGGAAATGAAACAGCCACTGGGCATATCTTTCTAGGTGGCTTCAAAGTCATAGTTCAGTGTTAACTACTATGTGGTCTTTAATTTAGAATTAAGTAAAACTAACATGAAAGAAAAACAATTAAATAGCATTAGTTTATCATCTTTGAGAGAAATTAGTCTTTTGTCTTTAAAGGGAAGTCGTCATCATATGAAGCAGCAGACAAAAAAAACACTTCAGCTATAACCACCCCAAACCTTACCCAGCACAAAAAAGAAACTGTATCAAGTTGAAAGGCAAGAATTTTTTCCACTTGATACTGTCCCATCCATTTGTCTCAGTCTAATGAAACATACATCCCTTAGTGGCTTAGACTTCATCCTGACCTGTTCACTCCGTAAGCAAGTTATGACTAAAAAGTGGGTTTTTTTTGGGCATTTGAGCATCCATTGTGTAAGAATACTATCAGTTTTCTTTGTGTAGCTTGACTGTGTACTAGTACCTTTGAAGAAAGATGTGTTCATTTAAATATTTTTTGAATTATTCCAAAATGTTCAATAAAAACTTTAAAACTGCCAATTTTTAGAGCCTTTTTTTAAATGTAGTGATATCCATTTGTATAAGTTGAGAGTTTATAATCAGACTATTCAAGAATACTAATTTTAAAGCTGTATTTTATAAATAACTGAACTTTTGCTACCAATTTTTTATTATTTTAAAATTCAGTGACTTTTAGTGTATTTATAAAGTTGTACAACTATCACAATTTAGTTTTAGAACATTTCTATTACCCTGCAAAGAAACACTGGGCCCATTTACAGCTACTCCTCATTGCCACCCCAGCCCTAGGCAACCACTAGTCTACTTCCCATCTCTGTACACTTGTCTTTTCTGGACATCCCATATAAATGTAATAGTATAGTATGGCCTTTGTGTGTGGCTTCTTTCACTTAACATGATGTTTTTGAGGATCATCAATGTTGTAGTTTCTATCAGTACTTCACTCCTGTTTATGGCCAAATGGTATCCCATTGTATGGATTAACCACATTTTATTTATCATTTTACCAGTTAATGTTTACTTGCGTTGTTCCCATTTTTTTACTATTGTGAATAATGCTGCTATGAACATTTCTGTCCAAGTCTTTGTAGAACATATATTTTTCATTTCTCTTGAGTAGATACCTAGAAGTAGATTTGCTGGAGTATATGGTAAGTCTGTTTAATTTTTGAAGAAACTGCCAAAGTGTTTTCCAAAGTGGTTGTACCATTTTACATCCCCACCAGCAGTGTATGAGGTTCCCAATTTCTCCACATTCTTACCAAACTCGTTATTTTTCTCTCTTTTTAATTATAGCCATCGTAGTGGTTATGAAGTGGGATCTCAGTGTAGTTTTGGTTTGCATTTTCCAAATGGCTAATGATATTGACCATATTTTCATGTGCTTATTGCCCATTTGTGTGTCTGAGAAATACCTATTTAGAGCTTATCCCATTTTTAAAAATATTGGATTATTTATTTTTTTAATTATTCAGTTGTAGAAGTTCTTATATATCCTTATTCTGTGGGTTTTCTTTTCATTTTTTGATAATGTCTTTTTAATTTTTTATTAAAACTTTTTATTGTAGTATAGTTGATATACAATCATATTGGTTTCAAGTATACAACCCACTGATTCAACAGTAACTCGTATTATTAAATCCTCACTCCAACTAGTGCAATTACTATCTGTCAACATAGAAAGATGTTACAGAATCATTGGCTATATTCTTCATGCTGTACTGCCATCCCCATGACCAACTTATATTATGATTGAGAATTTTTGTGCCCTTTTATCCCCGTCCCCACCCACCCACTCCAACCCCACCCCTATGGTAACCACCAGTACTTCTCATTGTCTGTGAGTCTATTTTGTTCATTTTGTTTTGTTTTGTTTTTAGATTGCACATGTAAGTGCAATTTGTCTTTCTCCACCTGGCTTATTTCACTTAGCATAAAACCCTCTAGGTCCATCCATGTTGTCCCAAATGGCAAGATTTCTTTCTTTTTTATAGCTGAATAATATTCCACTGCATATATGTACCACATCTTTATCCATTTATCTATTGAAGGACACTTTGGTTGCTTCCATATCTTGGCTATTGTAAATAATGAGGCAGTAAACATAGGGGTACATATATCTTTTTGAATCAGGGATTTTGTTTTCTTCGGGTAAATTCCCAGAAGTGAAATTATTGGATCAAATAGTATTTCTATTTTTATTTTTTGGAGGAACCTCCAATACTGCTTTCCACAGTGGCTGCACCAATTTGCATTCCCACCAACAGTGTAGGAGGGTTCCCATTTTTCCACATCTTCGCTAATACTTGTTATTTACTGTCTTTTGGATAGTGGCCATTTTAACTGGTGTGAGGTGATAATGTACTATAGTTTTGACTTGCATTTCCCTGATGATTAGCGATGTGGAGCATCTTTTTAGGTGCTCGTTGGCCATTTGTATTTCTTCTTAGGAGAAATGTCTGTTCAGGTCCTCTGCCTGGTTTTTAATTGGGTTATCTGTTTTTTGGGTGTTGAGGTGTATGAGGTCTTTATATATTTTGGTTGTTAACCCTTTATTAGATGAGTTGTTCACAAATATATTCTCCCATACTGTAGGATGCATTATTGTTCTGCTGATGGTGTCCTTTGCTGTACAGAAGTTTAGTTTGATGTAGTCCATTTGTTGATTTTTTATTTTATTTCCCTTGCCTGGGGAAATGTGTCCAGAAAAAAATTGCTCACACTTATGTTCAGGAGATTTTGCCTGTTTTCTTCTAAGAGTTTTATGGTTTCATATCTACATTTAGGTCTTTAATCCATTTCAGGTTTACTTTTGTGTATGGTGTTAGTAATCCAGTTTTGTTCTCTTGCATGTAGCTGCCTAGTTTTCCCAACACCAGTTATTGAAGAGACTGTCTTTTCCCCATTGTATGTGTATGGTTCCTTAATCATACATTGGCCATATATGCGTGGGTTTATATCTGGGCTCTCTATTCTGTTTCATTGATCTATGGGTCTGTTCTTATGCCAGTACCAAATTGTTTTGATTACTGTGGCTTTGTGGTATAGCTTGAAGTCAGGGAGCATAATACCTCCAGCTTTATTCTTCTTTCTCAGGTTGCTTTGGCTTTTCAGGGTCTTTGTGGTTCCATATGAATTTTAGGATTATTTGCTGTAGTTCATGGTAGTGTCTTTTTAAGTGCAAGTTTTAAATTTTGAGTAAGTCCAGTTTATCAATTTTTTCCTTAACCATTTGTACCACTGACTTGTCTTAAAAAATCATTGTCTACCCTAAGAGCATGAAGATTTATTCCCTTCCAGGTTTTTTAAAGAGTTTTACAGGTTTAACTCTTGCTTTAGTTTTGTAATCCATTTTGAATTAATTTTTGTGGATGGTGTGAAATAGGGATCCATAGTAAATCTTTTTTTGCATGTGGGTATCCAGTTGTCCCAGCACCATTTATTGAAAGACTGCATCTTTCCTCTTGAATTTCCTTGGCATCTTTGTCTGAAATTCGTTGACTATAAACATGTTTATTTCTGGGCTTTCACTTATATTTTATTAATCTATGTCTATCCTTATGCCTTGATTGCTGTTGCTTTGTAGTACATTTTGAAATCAGGAAGTCCTCCAGTTTTGTCCTCCTTTTTCAATATTGTTTTGGGTATTCTGGTTCCCTTGCATTTCTGTATACACCTTGGATTAGCATGTCAATTTCTGCAACAAAGGAATCTGGGATTTTGGTAGGATTGAGTTAAATCTGTAGACCAATTTGGTTAGTATTGCCATCTTAAAATATTAAGTTGTCTGATGTATGAACATGTTATGTCTTTTGATGTTTTTAGGCCTTTAATTTCTTTCAGTGATGTTTTATAGGATTTATAGGTGTCAAGTGTACAAGTCTTGTACTTCTATTAATTTTTTTCCTAAGTATTTTATTCTTATTGATTCTCTTGTGAAGGGAGTTGTTAATTTCAGTTTTGATGTTCATTGTTAGTGTACAGAGGTTAATTAATTAAATTTTGTCACCCATTTGTACTGTGGTCAGAATAAATGTATGGCCAGCATGATTTCTAACAATTTGCTTAATTATTTTGCTTTGATCAGCCACCTTGTATACTATAGTATCTGGTTGTGGCTTAGTTAGGTTGTAGTTAGATAAGGCTTAGAGCACTGTGTTAGTCTTACATATCAGAAGCATATCAGAATAGCACTTTGTAGAAATCATTTTATTTAGTAACTCATACTTAGAATTGATGCTATAATTTCATAACACAAAATATATTTTTTGAATAAATGTAATTTTTTAAAGAAAAACTCACCTGGTTTTGTTTGTAGATCATTAACAAGTAGTATCTACAGCTTAGTTGTTGTCATATAAAACTAAAATTGAAATTTCCATAGCATTCTTTGCTTAACTTATTTTGCTTATCACCACATATGCATGTTATTAAAGCTTTGAGAATTTTAAAGCTGGTTTATTTCATTCTCCTTCAGTAGTGAGGTGAAGCTTCAAATTTTTCATGTTTATGAGATTATTTATTTTTAAAATTTTAATGTATTTTTCAGGGTCAGTTAAATGAAAGCATGGACCATGGGGGAGTTGGACCATATGAACTGTAAGTATATATGAAAAGATTTCTTTGTGCTGTCTTTCCTGCAAGTGGATTATATCAGCTCCAGTTCATAGTTATCATGTGATTCTAATAACCTGTTCTCAAATATGTAGTCATATATATAGCTCTGGTTTATTAAGTTTGGCACCACTAATAACATATCCAGGATTTTTAAAGCATATATGGATTTTCAAAAAAAATATTCGAATTCAAAGTATAGTGAATATGAGTCTGAGTGGGTTAAGAATTTTTATTTAATGTAGAGAACAACCTTACTGAAAAATAAAACTTTTAGAAGTGCCCCCTGAAGTTAGTTTCTTGTTCTGCTTATAAAACATCATTCAAACAGAGATTAGTGAAGTCTTAAGTCATTTTAGTCAAGCTCCATTGGATGAGTATGGTGACTGATCTGCCCTGTACCCACCCTTATGGAAAAAGCCTTGGGTTAGGGGAGACTGAGATTACTCATATAGAAAGCATTTATATGACAGACAAAATTGCCATCCTTATTGGCATCTTTAAATCAAACTATGAGAAGATGCATGGATACATTTATTAGCAAGAATTTTTGTAGCATAAAAACTTGAACTAATTGGTTGCTTTTAGAAAACTCCCAGATTTTCTGAAGTTGCCAAATGAGGTTGGATAATACCTAACCTTATGTATTTTGAATGAAGTAAATTTGAATAACTAGAAGACGTTTTCCTTTGTCAACTTAATAATACTTGTTCAAGTTTATCTTAGTTTGGGGATGCTTAATGCTTATGAAAATGAATAATTGATAGCATATTTTTTAAATAAGCAGATAAGCAAACAAATATCAAGCTGCATGGTAGATCTTGATCTACCATGTCAGTGACTCATTAGTTTGCTTACATCATAGATAGTAAATTTGCTATCATATATTTTTTTCCTTTTCCTTAACTGGATTACATCTCTCTCCTCTTTCTAACAATATGCTGAAGGTAATTTAACTTTGTGAATTTACTTTTGGTTTTTGCTTTTCTCCCCAGTGGCATGGAACATTGTGAAAAATTTGAAATTTCAGAAACTAGTGTGAACAGAGGGCCAGAAAAAATCAGACCAGAATGTTTTGAGCTACTTCGGGTACTTGGTAAAGGGGGCTATGGAAAGGTAGGAAGAATTTTTTAAATGAGACCTTTATCTGTCTTGGGTAGATTAATTTTTATACGCTGGTTAAAACCCAGGGGATCCAGGAGTCTTCTTCAGTCTTTGTTTTCTAGCTATCAGCAAAGGGTCTGATCACTTATCTGGTATTATTTGAGTGGTGTACAGAAGTTCTCCCCTTTCTATCACCATACACATAAAAGCCTGTCACTTACTAGACACTCTGTCGATATTTGTTGAATAAATAAATAGGCAACTGTGCCAGGCAGTCTATTATTAGAGGACTCACTCCTTTCTTTGGTTAAATGGTACCCTCTCTAGGTATTCTCTTAAAAAACAAACAAACGACTCCTTACTCTCAAGAGGCATGGCATATTAAATTGTTAACTGCTACTGAGACCTTAAGCTGAATTGGTTTTCTTTGACCTGTAGTATCTGGAGCAATGGAGTTAGGGAAGCTGAAGAATAAAAGAGGGGAAAAGAAGGTGAAGAGACCTTTTTAGGTTCATAGTTTTGCCTAAGGCTTTTTAATTTAAGACTTCACCTTTGTGTGTTCTTCCCAAGAAAATTTATACCTAGCCATTCTGTATCAAAAAATAGAATTTGAATAGCTATCTATCCCTAGTTACCAACAAAGTATATGTATTTAGTAATACATTTAATATTTAGGATTAACTTAAAGTATTTATGCTATTACATAGTGTTAATTTTTGCAAAGATGACATTTGTAGTTTATTTGCAGGATAAGGACTCATCTAATGTGTTCCAATCATCTTGAATGTGTAACACATGTACTTTGAGTCACATATTTTAGCTGCTGCATGGAAGTGTTTTATATAGCTAGTCATTTTAAGGGACAGGTAAATGATAATGTCTGTCTATTATTAAACTGTTTTATGTGAAGCAAGAATAGTGGCATCCTTCAAAGAAATTTATGAAATATTTTGTAATTTTTAAGTTTGGTGTTATGTTCCTAGGAACCCTAATTATAATTTTTTCTAAGTAAACTTGGATTTTATGTATAAAGTAACATGGAGTGATCATTAGACAGTCATTGCCCAACTTTGCCAGCAGATGTCAGCAGACCAAACAGAAAAGTCCCATGTTGTGTGGCAGATTTCACTACTAAATCTTTATAGTATAGTCTGCTCTTTATTTCATCATTTTTGCAGTTCTTTGTGTAAATAGTTTTTATAAGAATATAAGCTACTGTAATTAGTCCATTTGTAAAAGCTGCTCAAATACAGTATTTGATTTTTTTTTTTGAAGTGAGAGGTTGGTTTTATAACCAAACATTTCAAAGAAAATAACAAAATGTGGGCAAATATTTATATTTGAAGAAAAGTTGGTTTGTAGAATACATGTAATTAAAGGTCTTAAAAAGGTGGGGAAAAAAAGAATATAAGCTTCTGTAGCATTTGTTTTTTATAAGTAGGAATTAAGGCAGAGTTACTAGCATAGTTTACCTTGTAATAACAGACACACTTTTATTTTTTATACAGGTTTTTCAAGTGCGAAAAGTAACAGGAGCAAATACTGGGAAAATATTTGCCATGAAGGTGCTTAAAAAGGTGATTCCTTTCCTCCTTCCCCCCATTATTATATTCTTAATTGCTATAAAATCTACATTTTGGCCTGAAATTCTCAGTCAAAAAATTATTTCTAACACAATTTTAAGTCTTCTTAGAATGTGGGATATGTTTCATTATTGTTACTCCTGTTTTATTTCTGTGTTGTGAGGGAGAAAAGGAGAGCTTTTTCAAATATCCTGCCAGATAACTCTTTTAGCCTTTTGTTCAGCTTTCCATATTTCTAAGTAATAAGCATATTCTGCTACTGCTTCCTTCAGCAGTTTTAGAATTGTGTATTGACTTCTTATTTTACTCTTTTTTACTCCCTCCTTTCTCATCCTCTTCCAACAACTCTGTAAAACACCTTTCAGGCCAATGTTCTATGGTCATACTTATTAAATAATCTATAGTTCCATTTACTTTCCTAGACACATCCCATAGGAACCTTCTGTCTCCCTGTTCCCATCTGTGCTGGAAGCTCTCTACGCATAGCTCTCATTACTGGACTTCCCTTCGCCACAATCCTTGGAATCCTGTTGGCCCCTTCAATGTTGGATCCTTTGTCTCCTGGAATCCATATCATTCCCTTGTTTTAGTGACTATCTACTACTGGCTTCCTGAGAAAGAGTACATGAGAGTAAATGTTTTTGAAAATACTGCATATTTGCAAATTTCCATATTATACTTTTATACTTACTTGATTGTTTGGTATGATTTTAAAGTTGAAAATCATTTTCAGGATTTTACTCCATTTTCATCTAGAGTTGAGTATTTCTGTTGAGAAGTCCCTTGCCATTCTGACTCCCAATCCTTTATAGATTTATTTTCCTTTGAAGATATTAAAGATTTTCTTTTTATTTCTGATGTTGTAAATTTTTACCATGATGTGTCTTACTTTGATTCTTATTATTTTATTTATTTTCACTCTTTTAATCTTAAAAGTTTTGTTCCTTCAGCTCTAGGAAATTTTCTTGTATGGTCTCTGATAATTTTCCTTTCTACTGTATTCTCTTCTTAGAATTTCAGTTGGATGTTGGACCTCCTGCACTGGGCCATCTATTTTTCTTATCTTTTCCATTTGTTCATTTCTTTGTCTTTTTGTTTACTTTCTGAAATTTTTTCTAAAAATTATTTTCTAGTCCTTTTACTGATTTTCTTTTTAGCTATCCTATTTGTAGTTCCCCAGAGCTCTTTCTGGTGTTTTTTCTTTTTATAGCAACCTTTCTTATGAGTATAGTATCTTCTCTTATTCCTGTGAGTGTTTTAATTATAATTCTTTGAAATGTTCTTTTTTCCATGCATTGTGTCTGTTTTCCAAGTTCCTATTTTTCTTTTTTTTTTTGGTTTCTTCCATATCAAAGGCTTTCTGTAGATGTCTGGTGTCCTTCATTAGTTGGTCATATTTAAGAGTGGAACTCTGAAAACCTTTTCAGAAGTTCTATGTATGTAGACTTCTTTGTAGGGCAGTCATGGGATTAGCTGGTAATTAAGACTTGGAAATAGCAGTGTCTGTAGGTCTTTTTTCTGGTATGGATCATTTGGTGCTGAGGAAGACCCTCTGTTCTTTCACCTGTGAAAAGCATTCTGGAGCTGGATGAGAGAAAGGAGATGGAGACCTCACCTTTCAACATGTGGACTTTTACTAAAGTCAAGTCTTTAAGTTTAGCACTTCACTCTGTATCTGGTCCTTCACTTTTTTTCGGGAGAGTACATTTCTCCAATTGGTAGTTCCCAAGCTGTTTGGTGTGGGGACGGGAACCTTTTTGGTCTGTCTGTTCTTTATGCAGGCTGCAGTTACTCTCCCAGTTTTTCAGTCCTCTACCTTCTGCTTTCTGTAATCCCTAATGACTAATTTTTTCCTTTTCTCTCTTTTTAGTTTTGCCTCTAATTTTTTAACCCTGCTAGGATTCTATAAATGGAAACAAATTTTTTCAGTTATTCCTCTTTGCAGGCATTTAGGTTTGATTGTATTCTACTCCACTAAGTCATGTACCATTGCTTTATCCCAATTCTGTCATCACCTTTTGAGGTGTGGAGTTACACATTTCCTAGTTTTATTGAAGACGGATTATGTGCATTTGGTTTCTTGTTCTTTCGATTTGGGATTAATTTCTGAAAAAAGCGGTCTTGAAGCAAGTTTTGTTAGAAAACTATATTAAAAGACAATCAAAATTACTTGAAAAAATGACAGTTTGTAGTATTTTGGTTTATATTCGTGATTTTAACATAAGTAGTACAAGTGACTTCTTAATTTAAAAGCTAAGGAACAAGTACTGTGGCCACAACTTTACTGGTGATTGTCTTAAAGAAGCCATTTAGATATTCTGAACATTAATTTCTGTAACAGTAAGTCGGGATTAATCTGCTATCTGGCTTTCCCATTAGAATCATTTGAGACCAATGATATTTTTAATCTATGAAACAGGTATAGAGTTGGAGACAGTATAATAATGCTTGTTCTAGAAATGTTGAAAGAAGTACCTGTCAAAGATTCTTAGGGTAATCCATTCCTTTTGATATGTTTTTGATATGATTATTTATGTCTGATAATCAGGGGTGACCATAATTAGTCATAATTCTATCTTGAATGAAGCTTGTTTTTGGTGCTGATATCTTTAATGAAAAGGAGAGGATTTTGAGGTTTTTTCCCCCACTGTTAGTGGGCATGGTATATTGGGAGATCCATAAACTTAATTCCTACTAAATGTCAGGCCTCCTTTTGGCGCCAAGGTTATAAGATGTAACTTGCTTGCCTCTCCGTTTGCTTAGTCACCACTCTTTCTCACTCTTAGGGTTTTTCTTTCTTCAAGCTGGGACAGAGAATCAGATACTATCTCATTCTTTCCTTGCTGTCTCTGGAAACACACTCCCAGCAAAAATAATGAAAGTGGAGAGGCTACTAGAGTTTAAGTGCAGGGTTTTAATTTCTAAGTCCCTATATAGCATGACTGTATGCTCCCTTTGAGTTTCTTATTTTATTACTCTGGAAGCTAGACTACTAATCCTCCTGACCTCAAAATTTGGTAAGATTATACCTCTTTCCAACCTCAAAGATGAAATCAGAGTAGAACTAGGTGTCTCCTTGTCTTAAATGAGTTATTTGTATCTGGACCTTCTATCTGGATTTATCAGTTTTCCTGGGATTCTTTACTCCATACAGGAATTGACCCGTTTTGGTATTTGCTCATGGTGGAATGTTGATGAAAAGACTCACCTACCTCTCACCTACCTCTCTATCCTGCCAGTTGCAACAGAAATGTACTCTGGAAGCAGAATACTGTTAAATGTAATACTGTTACATGGCATTTGTTCAGCCCACACTAAATTTTAGAACCTTTGGCCAGAGGTGTATGGCTCACAGATTGGTCATAGTTCTTCCATTCCTTCTTTTATTGAACCATTTGAGAACTTGCAATATGCCAGTCATTGTGCTAGATACTAAGGTTTAGCGTTAGAGACCAGCATAATCTCTGCTTGTCACTTTGCTTACTGTACAAGTCAAGGGAAGAACTGATAAACTTATGCTTACAATTACTCTTCCATCCTGTGGACAAAACCCTTTCTACTTTGAAGTTTAAGCCTATTCCACTCTCACCGTTTTTAATCTTTTTTCCCCTATTTGCAAGTCTTGTTACTCTGGTTGAATTGTCGTTGTATTGAATAAGTAGTCTATAGCCTAACCTTCTAATTCCTTGATGATCTCAACTCTGTCAGCTTTCACCTCTATTCATCAGCCACCACTGCCCCCCATGCCTGTATTCACCACCTCTGAAATACTGGTCTATAATAGAATAGTAACTTTCTCACTTTATTCCCACAATGCCTTGTTTTGGCTCTAAGCCCTTTAGTCCTTTGATCTTTATGGATTTTTTTCTGACATTCTTAGCCCCCTTCTTATATCTGTTTATTCTGAATCCAGCCTAATCCGCATAATCTGCCGTTTCAGTCACTTCCTAGCCCGATTGACCTTAAGTTTAGTAAGTCCTCATCTTAATCAATTTCGTTGTTAATGCTTCTTTCTTCCTGTATCTCAGCTACTGAGCATTACTGGCAGAAACTTGTAGATTGTGGCTGGGACGAATTTGGAGTCCCCAATTTATTTGGATCCTGAGTACTTACCAGACGTTTTTCTACCTGTCTCCAGAGAACTACTTCATTCTCTGTAACTATTAGAGCCTTTGTTATCGGTCCCTCTGCCTCTTTCAGCAGACAGTCTCTCTTTCTATTTGAGGCTGTCACATGTGATTCCCTTCAACTTCCTGTTCTAATTCCTACCCTAGTACCATATTAATCTTCATTTTCACCTGGCTTTACTTACTTCTCTCTAGTCTTAGTGGGAGATATGTTCTTCCTCCTTTCCATGGCTAAGCCCTCTTTTTATGTTTGGATTTCACCTCTTCTGCCTGTTCAGGGTTATTTTTCTATCACTTCTTTCTTTTTTTTCTGTCCTCTATCCTGACATCTTTCTCTTTTAAATGTATTCATATCTTTGCCATATTTAGCAAAACAAATCCTTCCTACATTTAGGGTCTCCCTGTAGCTTCCTACCCTCTTTGCTTTCCATAGCTGAGTTTCTTGAAAAGTCATGTTTTATAGTCACTGTATTTTAACTTATTGACTCTACTATTTCAATGAAACTCTTGTCTCATAAGTCACCACCAATCTCTTAATTGCCGAATCCAGTGCCCCTTACTGAACCCATCCGTTAATTATCTCTCTGTTGAAGCTATTGACCACAGCATTTTGAAACACTCCACCCTTGACTTCTGTGATTCTGCTTTACTAATTTTTCATCTTATCAGTTAGTCTCATGCTTCTCAGACTTTCTCAAAATTACTTATTTAAAAAGAAATCAAGCTTCCCAAGCACTTAAAAGATAACATATCTGAAAATTTTCAAATTTCAAAGAGTTGAAAGAACAGTGCAGTGATCACCAGTTTAGTTTGCTGTATTTTCTTTGCCCTCTGTCTCTCCATCCTCCCCCTCTACATATGTATATATGTTATGGCATAGACGTTTTTTTGAAGAGTCCCGGCCAGTCGTTTTTCACAGTATCTCTTAATTTGATATGTTTCATTGTTTCTGCACGAAAACACATTATACGTTTAAGTTAAATACTTTTTGCAGAAGTATTTTGCAGGAGTATTGTGTCTTCAGTGCATGGGCTCAGGAGGCATCTTATGTCCATCCATCCCATTATTGAGCAAGATTGGGTTTGCTCACTTGGTTGAAATGGTGTCCATCAGACTCTCCACTATACAAACACTTTTTCTCTTAGTAATTAATAAATATCTATGTGTGAATATCAGTTACCCAGTGGTTTTATCGTGTTGTTTCTTGTCAAATCAATTATTAGTACAGTAATTATAAAATGGAGACTTTTCTGTGTTTATCACTTTTTTCTATATTGTCCTTCTGTAAAGAATTTTTCATACTTTCTTTTTAAACTTAATTTTTTAAGAGTCAGTATGGACTTTTTTCTAATGCGTTATCCATTTTTTTCATTTTGGTCCTCAAATTGTCCCAATTTCTGCTAGAGAGAACTCTATTAAGATAGCTCTGTGTCCTTTTAACATGTCTCTGTCGGTTTTTTGAGTACTTCCTTCCTTTGTGGTACAATAGAGTACTCTGAGTTTACCCTGCCCTTTCCCTGACCCTCCCCTAGAACCATCTGTTTCTCCAAGGAACCCTGGTTTCTTTTTGTAGAAAAAGCAAGATCTTGCTACTAAAATGTCATTGTTCTGGCCCTTTCAGTGGATGGAGCTAGGAAGTTTTTGTTGTATTTGCAATTGTGGCTTCATATTGCTATCCCAAATTCCAAGCCAATTCCATAGGGTTCTTCTTTCAGTCTGTATTTGCATCTCTGTTTTTCCACAGTGAGAAGTCTGGTAATGATAGCAGTACATTACTTATTTGCTCAGTTTTACAATATATGCATAATGGGTTGAGAATTATAATACCAATGCTATTAGCAGCTACAAATCTACTAAGTGTGGTATAAGATTTTTCCGCAATTTTTCTTATGCTCACATATATGCAACTAAGAGGGTGCAGTGTAAAATTCTTTAAATATCTTTTTTCTCCTATGGTAAAATTATCAATTAAGTATATGTATTTCTCCTATGGTAAATATATCAATTAAGTATAAGTATATTCAATTTTGTTTCCCTTCCCCCTCCTTGTTGCTAAAATTTCATTTTTGGAATGTACAAACCATTAACATTGTTCAGAATTCAAAATCTCTACTTTATAATCACAATAATATTTGATTTAGGTAAGAAAAAAATTAGTGGTAAAACCATTGAGGTTTTACTCAGAATATATATTCAAAAGCCCCATTCCCTTTCCTACATTTCCACTGTCATTAGCTTTTGGTTGATCTTAGTTGTGTTCATTATTGCGGGTATAAGCAGATACATATCTATATTCTTAGTACATCCCTTTTTAAACAGAAGTAGCATACTGTGTATACTGCGGTGCCATATGTGCTCTTTTGCACTGTGTTTTCATAGTGTCGTTCCATATTCCTTTTATAGCTGTTCTACACATTGTGTAGATAGTCCATACGTTTTCAGCAATATCCTATGCATGGGCATTTAGGTTGTTTCTGATGTTTCGCTTTTATGAATAATATTCCAACTGGAATTTAGTCCTAGGACTTAGACTTAACATGTCCAAAACAATGCATCATTTTTCCAGAGCTTTTTTCTTCACTTCATTGCATTATTGAATAACATCATTATCTATCACATTACTTAAGCAGAAACCACAGTTATCTTCATTTCTTATATGTAGGTAGTCATCAAGTACTAATGATGTACTTTATTTACCCTTTCTTCCTTTCCTCCCCACCACCACCTTTATTTTCTTAGTTTTAGGTCTTACTTTTTGCTTAGTTTACTATATACTAGCCTCCTAACTGGTCTGATTTCTTCCCTAAAACTCCTTTACTGCTGCTACTAGAACTGTCTTTCTTAAAGCCAAGGGTTATTCATTTCCTTTACCTCAGCATTTCTCCTCTGTCTCTACTCTAAGATTCAAACACCTTTGCCTAGATGCCCAGGCCTTCCATTTCCTGGCGCCTACCTGCATTTCCAGCGTAATCTTTTTTTTTTTATTTTGGTATCATTAATCTACAATTACATGAAGAACATTATGTTTACTAGGCTCCCCCCTTCACCAAGTCCCCCCCACATACTCCTTCACAGTCACTGTCCATCAGCGTAGTAAGATTCCAGTGTAATCTTTAACTACATCTAACCATATTAAACTACTTACAGATTTCCTCGACATGTCCTGTCAAGCCTCTTCTGCTCTGAGAATGCCTTTTCTTACTCTCCACATTTCATCATAAGAACTTTTCATAATACAGCTTAGATACCGCCACCTCCAGGAAGACTTCTTACCAGGTCAAATGCAGTTCCCTTGTTCTCTGATAGCACTGTGTGCTTACCTCCTTAAGAGACATCCCTCTCTTCCCTGAGATTTGGACTCCTATGGGCTGAAGACTTCTGTTAGTTTGCTTTCTTCTAACAGAGCCTAGAACAAAGTAAACCGTTAGTGAATATATGAATAAGCTTGATCTGTTTACACTTAAAAAAAAAGTATCTTTAGGTTTCATTTACATGTTCACTACAGAGAAATCCAGACAGTGCAGATATCTATAAGGATTGAATATCTTCCATTATTTCTATCTAAGTCTCTAAGGGGAACTATAATTAATAGTTTAATATTGGCAGGGAAAGCACAAAATAGATTTTCCAGCTACTATAGAATAAAAATGTCTACTATTTTGTTCTTATAGATCATCTCTTTTCCTTTAGGCAATGATAGTAAGAAATGCTAAAGATACAGCTCATACAAAAGCAGAGCGGAATATTCTGGAGGAAGTAAAGCATCCCTTCATTGTGGATTTAATTTATGCCTTTCAGACCGGTGGAAAACTCTACCTCATCCTTGAGTATCTCAGTGGTCAGTACACACAGTTTGGTGAAATTATTTGCATTTTCTCCAGAAACTGGGTCCAAACATGATTTTCCAGTGGAAAATGCCTTTTTCCTAATGTGATCAAATAGTTCTTAAAATTGACAGATATATTGACATAAGGAATTCAGATATGACCAAATGTTTCTTTTTGCAGACAAATAGGAAGGAAACTTTAAAGGTTAAGTTTTTTCCCCATCTGTCAAATTTTATCTTAATCCTTTTGTAATCAATTACTTAGCTGATAACAAACCCATCAAACTGACTGCACTTGGGTAAGATACTAAAATTCAAATAAACCATTAAAATATTTCTATCTAAACTGAAATGGAAAACTTACTGAGAGAATTGTTTAAGATATTCAGTATTTTTTTTAGAATTGTATCTCTAAACAGAAGAGTTTTTGGTTTAATATAGCCTTATTGATAGATTATGCAGTTTACATTAGATATCTACATTTTCTGGGTCTTACTGCCTCTTAGGAACTTGCTGCTCCCCATATCATTTCTAGATTATAGGTTATCTATTCCCAGCAAACACACTTGAGTTTTCTGAAAAATAGACTTTATCATAGCCTACAACATGGAATAGAAAGCTATAAAATTCAGTAGCTTTTTTGTGACTATTTTTATTATACAACTTTATTTTCACATAATTTCAGATTTGTACAAAAAAGAATAGTATGAAGAATTCCTATGTACCCTTCACCTAGATTCCCCAAGTGTTATTGTTTTACCACAATTGTTTCATCTTCCTCTCTCTCCCTCTCTGTATGTACATATGTGTGTGTGTATGTATATACATACACATAATTTTTTTCTGAACTGTTTAAGAGAGTGTTGCAAACATGATTTCCCTTTATCCCTAAATATTTTCTAGTCGATGACACTATCTTACATAACTGTCATAAAATTACCAAAAATAGGAAATTAACATCAGTAATATCTTTCCTTGGAGTCCTTTAATCTGGACTAGTCTTCAGTCTTTGTCTTTCATGACATTGATGTGTTTTGAGGAGTACAGGCCAGTTATTTTGTAGAATGAATCAGTTTAGACTTATCTGATGTTTCCTTAGGATTAGATTCAGGTTATGCATTTTTGGGAGGACCATGGAAGTGACGTTGTGTCTTTCTGTGTCTATCAGATCAGGAGGTACATAATGTTTATATCTTTGTTTCATTATGATTGATGTTAACTTTGATCACATGTATATGGTGATGTCTGCCAGTTTTACCCCAGTGAAGTTTTCCCTTTGTTATTAGTAAGTGTCTTGAGGAGATACTTTGACATTATTTAAATATCTTGTCCCTCATCAGCTTTCACATACAGTTTTAGCATCCACTGATTCTTGCCTGAAACAACTATGATGGTTGCCAAGTGATTTTTCTTACTCCATCATGCCTCATTCACTTATTATTTGACATTCTACTGTAATGAAGAACTTTCCCTTCTCCCCCATTTAAAATTAATTTATCTGTTCATTGATTAACATCAGCATGGACTCATTGATTCTAAGATTGTTCAGTGAATTATAACCTTTCATTATCATTACTTACTTCCGTAATCAAATCATGCCATGCTTTTTACAAGGCCACTGCCAGGTTCATCTAGTTTAAGAGTTCTGAAAATATGGAATATGGACATTCACTAATTTGCAAGGGTGGTTTAATTGTGTACTAACATTTTTCTACTTATGGATAGAATGTTAAAGAAGCCTTAGTTCAGATTTTTTTACCTCAGGTCTGGAATTTAAAAAATATTTTTAAGTTTATTAATGTAAAACTAGAATTGTAAAACTTACATATTTCACACAAGAAAGAAAACACTGCTAAAAGTAGAATCCTGAGGACAGTTTTAAACCTATTAATTTTTAGTATCTATATATATTTTTTTAGGAGCTAGTGTCTCTTAATTATACTTAAAAGGAAAACACAAACCTCCCATTAGAAATGGCTTGGAAATAGATTGTTTTTTTTCTAAGGACTTCTCCATTTCTTTACAGGAGGAGAATTATTTATGCAGTTAGAAAGAGAGGGAATTTTTATGGAAGACACAGCCTGGTAAGTGAAATTTTTGTGGTTGCATGGATTCAGGTAATGAATGATTCATATAATTAAAAGCAAAGCCCTATTCTCACTCTGGGCAGCCAGATAATTCAATAAATTGCTCTGGAGCCAGTCACTTAGGACTTCGTGGGGGAGAAGCAGCTTTGGGACTGGGCAACTTTTGGAGGTCACATCATTCCTTTGCCCCCAGGCCTTGGGTGGAACGTTCTTCGTGCCAGTTCCTAACAGAACCCTTCTCACTGGGGCTTTCTTTCCTTGAATTGGTAAGCTGCCTGCATTTGCTGTGGGTGAGTGTGGTTTTCCAGGGAAACTTTATGTGTGGAACAATGGAAAGTATCAGAACTCATCTCCTCTTTTTTTTTTGGACTTTCCAGTTCCCAAGGTGCAGTCTTAGGGAGATGATAAGCCTGCACACATCATCTGTGGATTGACTCTATGGCCAGGATGGGATCTACCCTCTTATTTCTTAAGATGGCATCTGCTTCAAATTAAAAATATGCACATCCTTTTGTGAGATGACATTATTGGGTAACAAATCAGTTTATCCTACACATTAATTGAATAGAAGACACTTAAATGTTTTTTTCTACGTTAATTACCAAACTGCATTCCATTGTTTAATTTCAGGCCTTTTCTAACACAGAAGCTGCATTTAAGAGCCTTAGGGATGAAGTGCCCTTTTTTGGAGGAGGCTCTCTGAGCTGTGTTGGAGGCTGTGTCTGTGGTCGTGGTAGCTGTGAAACTGCCTCAGTCCTCTAGGACACACCCTCTCCATCCTGGAGTAGTCTGCAGGATTGCAACATTGTTATGCAGCCAGTATTGCAGTGCCTTGTGCTTTTCCAGTCCAGACAGGGTTGACTCAGCCCTTTATTCTTTTGAGGTAGATAAATTTGAGTGTCACACAGTTTGTAGTTGTGGGCTGGCTGGCAAGAGGGAGGGCAGATACTGTGGGCATGAACTGTATATAAATATGCAGCTGTTATTAAGTAAGGGATAAGTGGGTTTCTAAGGGTCAGGCATCTTTTGAAACTAAGACTTGATCTGTGAAAATAACAAAGTTCCTATTTCCTGTGGGATTTTAAAATTGGTGGTGGGTGGGAAAAATTTGCTTTGATCGGAATGACTTTTGGCCCAATTGCTACACAGAACAAAACATGCCCAGTGACAGTTTGGCATATTCTGGATTTCCTTGCAATTTTAGCAATATGTTCTAATAATGAAACAAAACATTTTATAGTTTCACTCAATGAGTGAAACATAAATATCTCCATGCCTTTTGGCAACATCCTATACCATCTCTTTCCCCCATACCCACCCCCACCCCACGAATTTGGTCTTTGGTGCATGCCTATTTCTTTCAAGGAATTTCACTCCATACATAAACTGCTTTGAGTAGATTACTCTTTTAATTTTATTAAACCACTTTTGTTTCCAGCTTTTACTTGGCAGAAATCTCCATGGCTTTGGGGCATTTACATCAAAAGGGGATCATCTACAGAGACCTGAAGCCGGAGAATATCATGCTTAATCACCAAGGTGGAGATATACCGTAAACAATTCTATAGTAAATAATCATCTTCAAATCCTCCCACATAGGTCATAGTCATTTTCAAAGCTCCATGTTCATGTGTTTTTTATTATACATTACTCTTTCAGAATTTATGGCATCCTGATACTTGCTGAGATTTAAGTATTTAGGTATTTATGGTTGATGAGTTTAAATGGACTTGAGGATAACTGGCCAGTCAACTGCCTTTTCTGGTTTAATGCTTACTTTCTATAGCTTGCCATTCTTTTGAAATCCTTACATAAAGTGTGGTGAGCCAAAAGGCAGTCCAAACACTAATTTTGGTTTGTTCCTAAATTGGAAAGTAAATCTTAACTTTATAAATTGAGTTTTCTTTAATGATGAAAATACTTAGAAGCAATATTTTTTATGATGAAATTTAAGTAATGCTGTAAAAAGACAGGATTAGGATTGAACCAAAATATTTGATGTAGCCTTGGACATAAATGTTTAATAGGCATCAGTTTATTCTTGCTGTTTGCAACAATAGACATAAAAGTCAGACTAATATTTTCTACAGCTATAGGTAGAGCAAAGTGAGCCTTGAATACAAGTGCATGCCACTACACACAGTTCATTTTACGTGAGAGTCATCTGGGCTTGTTTGGCTTGGCAGTTCACTCATACCTAAGAGGAGCAACGAGCCAGCCAGGGTATTGGGAAGCTGGCAGCAGCTGCTGATCCTTAGCTAGCTGCAAATGGTGCATAGGATAGTTAGCTGTTTTAAATTCATAGACAGAAAATAGTGTATGGATAACTGATGCCAATATAAATATTTCAAGTTGTGGGGTTTTTACCCCCCTTTTTCTTTTTCTAAGGAGAAATACTATACTTAAGCAAGTATATCATGGGAATCTTATGTATTTCCCTCTTTCCCTCCCAATTCTGTCCCTATCTCCCCAAACCTGAATTCTGAGTCTGAATTCTAAGGCAAAGGATAGAATATGGGAAGTGACTAGTTGATTTCTTTGATCCATAAACTTGAGTGTGTCAGGTGACTCTGTAAAAATAAGGGTCATATTTCTTCTGTGTGGCAGAGTAGAGTACACATTTACATTTGAATCAACAGACCATGCCTTTTCTTTCAAATAAACCTGGAATAGTAAGGTCCCTGGGATTATTGAACTATCACGTATCTGATGACAGTTCAGTAAAACTAAAGTGAACTGAAATCTTCTTTGTGTAAGGTGTTAAGTTGTTTTCACTTTCTGGATCAGGGATGTTGGGTCTTTTCCGTGTAGCAGTTTCATTTCTTTTTCTCAACTGGTAGCACTGGCAGAATAAGCTAAGTTGTTATGGTGACTTTCTGAGGCCACTTTAAGAACTGTCAAGTCACAGTTCACTGTGATAAATGTGTATTTGCAGTACAGTGCCACATCTTTGTTTAAAAAGTGCAGAATATCTTTATTAGGGGTTGTGTACTTAAACCATACTTTATCAAGAAGTTTTCCCAGGACTGACTTTGTCAGGATGGTGGAGGATTCCTAAAACAAGCTGTTTCACTTTTTTCTCTCTCCTTATTTATTCTTTACTAAATACAAATTATATCATTGGCAAAAGATGACCTGCCCTAGCCTTAAAGAGTTAGCATCCCATTTTATGGATGGCACCTTGCTAGTTCTTGATATCTTAAAACAATTTTAAGGCAGAAAAAGTTAAGTGGAAAGATAGATTGTCTTGTATGTTATGTTCAAACACTTCACATATTTAGAATTCTCAGAATAACCATGCTATATAATCTTTCATTGTAGGTCATGTGAAACTAACAGACTTTGGACTATGCAAAGAATCGATTCATGATGGAACAGTCACACACACATTTTGTGGAACAATAGAATACATGTGAGCTGCATGTTGAAAGAAATATAACTGTTTTGGGGGTAATAGCTAACTTTTTACCTGGTTTAAGTACTAGTGTGCTAAATTTCGTATAGCATTTTTTCTGTATATTTAAAAATTCTCATTCAGGTGATAAGCAAATGGATGAAATTTTTAGGCAAATTGTTTTTCTCATTGTAGGGCCCCTGAAATCTTGATGAGAAGTGGCCACAATCGTGCTGTGGATTGGTGGAGTTTGGGAGCATTAATGTATGACATGCTGACTGGAGCAGTAGGTGCACAGTTAAAAGTTGCATGTATTATGGTCTGTGCTGAGTACTTAATTAAACTACTACAGCAAGAGATTTTCCTGAGCATTTTGAAACTGTTACTGATGGAGTAATTTTTAAATATCTAACACTAGTAATGCTTTATTAGGCTGGTAGTTGTATAGGCTCTATATACTTTTAAAAACATTTTCATTTTTAAATGATCTATCTCACTATGGCAATCCTGTGAAATAGATACTTCCTTTATTTTACAAATGGAGAAGACGTGGCTCACCCATTACCACACATTTAATGGTGAAAACCCAACTCCTTCCAGGACATTGCTATTTCCCCTGTCTCATTGCTACAAATCTTTAGCAGTCAGCCCATATGACAGTGTACATTACTTATACTTAAGCATAACTGACTAATACAGAAAATAGATAATTCTGTTATTTCAAATTTGATTTTTTTATATGCTAATCTTTCTCACTCTCTTCCACTCTTAGCCCCCATTCACTGGGGAGAATAGAAAGAAAACAATTGACAAAATCCTCAAATGTAAACTCAATTTGCCTCCCTACCTCACACAAGAAGCCAGAGATCTGCTTAAAAAGGTAGGGTTCTTAATAGGCAATCAAGCCTTAAGCCACAACTACTGGAATTTAAATAGAATTGAATATACATTTTGAATATAGGATTATACACAGATAATGAACTAAAAAGCCTACAGTTTTCAGGCAAACTACAAATTTGTTTTTTTTTTAAGATTTTCTTCCCAGGCAGTATTTAGTAGTAATTAATAAATCATGATTTGTAAAGCAAAATAGAAAGCAAATTCTATAAAGAAAAATAATTTGACAAAGTAATGTTTCTTTTCTCTCCAAAGCTGCTGAAAAGAAATGCTGCTTCTCGTCTTGGAGCTGGTCCTGGGGATGCTGGAGAAGTTCAAGTAGGGATTGGCATGTGTGGTGGTTTGAGGGGAAGATAATGCTAATTTTATGTATTTGTGACAGTTTTATATAGTTCTTATAAGCATGGCTTATTTTGTGATTGGTAACTTCAAATAGGCAGTTAATTTGTCAATCCAGTGAAGTCTATTCCCCTTGACTTTTCTTCCTGATCTTTTTTCTAGGCTCATCCATTTTTCAGGCATATTAACTGGGAAGAACTGCTGGCTCGGAAGGTGGAGCCTCCCTTTAAACCTCTGTTGGTATGCATATGTGAAAGCATATAATTTTGTGGACCTGCTACTTTTTTAGAATAAGAACACCTTAGAGCAGTCAGAAACATTATGTTTATTAACAGTTCAAAAAACTTTGGTCTACCCTCTCTTCTCTTAAGAATCTTTGTTCTGTGCAGTCTTTTCAAACTACTGCCAGCAGAAATTGATGACTGACTATATTAACTATTTTTAAGTTGGTTGCATAACAAGTATTTCAAGTAGTTGGGACTTTTGTGTTTTTTGCTTTGTTTTGTTTTGCCTAATTGAACCCTATTTTAACTTTGGTTTCCTGGGAAGTTTTTTCTTCAAAATAGAGAACATATGTGTATTATTAGTTTGCTAAAGTTGCTGTAACAAAGTACAATAAATTGGGTGGCTTAAACAACAGAAATTGATTGTGTCACAGTGAGAGACTCTGTTCTATGCCTCCCTCCTAGCTTTGGTGGTTTGCTGGCAATCTTTGGCATTCCTTGGCCTGTAGGCTCATCATGTGATCTCTGCCTTCATGTTCACATGGCATTCTCCTTGTATGCAGGTCTGTGTCCAAATTTTCCCCTTTTAGAAGGACACTAGTCATATTGGATTAGCATCCCTGCCTACTCTAGTATGACTTCATCTTAACTAATTATATCTGCAGTGACCCTCATTCCATTCTGAGGTACTGAAAGTTAGAACTTCAACATATAAATGTTGTGGGAGACACAATTTGAACCATTTCAATATGTTTAAGAGTAAAATTAGTGTGTTAGTTCTTGTCTTTTTCCCACCTCAGAATTTAAGAAAATAGAGTTTCTTTTTTGATTTCTTAGATGAAGGTGGAGGAGGAGGAGAATGATGATAACTATTTTAGTCTTGGAGCACAGGGTGACTTGCTTTAAAATGTCAACATCTATAATTGTAAGGAGGATAATTAACCCTCATGTGCCAACTGCCCAGCTTCAAAAATTATTAGGTTATCTTGTTTAAACATAAATGTTACCACCATGCTTTCATCACAACTAAAATACTGACAATTTCCCCAGTTTTTATTTTTTCCGTTGGTTTATTTCAGTAAGGATTCAGTCAAGGTCTGTACAGTTTGGTTACTGTGTCTCTTGGGTCTCTTTCCAATCTGTAGATATCCTTTCTCAGTTCCTCCTCTGAAGACTTACACTGGACCATTTGTCCTGTTCCTCACATTTTGATTTTGCAGATTTTAACCCCATGGTGTCCAAATCAGTCATGTTTATTTGTCCTATGTATTTCCAAAAACTAGTAGTTATGTTTAGATGCTTGGTATGATTCAGATTATTAAACTTTTGATGGTGTATATTTTGATCAGGAGATTTTGTGTATTTGTTTCTTTTAGTGATGTTAATGGTCATTGATCATTGCCTGCATCAGTGGTTCTCAGGCTAGGGTCTGTTTGGCAATTTCTGGAGACAAGTTGTCGTAACTTGGAGAGGGTCTGCTACTGGTACCTGGGAAGCAGAGGCCAGAAATGCTGGTAACCATTCTGTAATGCACAGGATAGCCCCTGAAATAAGGATTATCAGGCCCCAAATGTTCATAAGTTCTGGTTCAGAAACTCTGGCCTAGATCCAGGATTTCCTTAGGGATTTGCAAAACTGTGTTATTCTAATATTGTTATTCATTCTTTATTAGCTGGAATTCTTCCATAAAGAGAAACTCTTATAAATCAGTTGTTTGATTATCTGAGGTACAGTTCATACAGGAAAGGCAAGATACGTATTTGTTTCTTTCCCTGTTTTCAAAATAACGAATTAGTTCCCTAGCATCTTCCATAATTGAACAGTGAATGTGTGTGTTTGTGTGTGTTAGTATAATTATGAACTCATTCCTTTTATCATATTTGTGTTTCAGTCCATTGCAGTTCTTTTTGTAGATGTTCAGCTTTTTCCTTTCTTGATACTGGGTGCTTCTTCATGTTGGTTCCTGTGTTCTTGTGACATGACCACATAATCTGATATTGTACCAAAGAAATTAAACAGATCTGGTGTTAGATTTAGGTGATGATATTCTTTCACAAGAAAGTATATTCATACAGAATATAATTTTTTTTTCTCTTTGAGAAATACAAGAAATGAAATAAGATATGGAAAGAAGCTTTAACGAGAACACCTTATAAACATGTTTTGTGTACAAATTCTGCTTCAGTAGGTTTTCAGGTCTATTGCAAACCTGCCAAGGCCAACTGAGGGAGTTATCTCTGAAAAGGGATTTAGCCAGTGGCTAAACTAGGCACACTGAAGCTTTGTGAGAGGGGAAGATTGATATTCAGGTTTTTAATAGGAATGATAACTGCACTAAAATCGATTTTAATATGTTTAAAATTTGAGGATATAATTTGACTTGTGGTATTCTGCCTATATTTATTCTTCCATCCCTACCTGCTAAGACTATTCTGATACTTTATTACAGTCAAACCCTGCAAAAAGAGTTCTATCTAGAAGCTTCTCTAATGCATGTAGTGACTCTGATGGATATGTATAATATAAACTATTTATCATCTTCTGATCATTTTGTTCTTTATAAAGCAATCCGAAGAGGATGTGAGTCAGTTTGATTCAAAGTTTACACGCCAGACACCTGTTGACAGTCCAGATGACTCCACTCTCAGTGAAAGTGCCAACCAGGTCTTTCTGGTAAGTCAAAGAATTTTCATGAAGCCATGGGAAATTTAAGCATGAGGATGGGCCCTTTTCAATAATAAAAGCTGTTTTCAATAAGAAATTCAATTGCTTGCAATTCATGTAGATAGATACCTGAGTTGCTATTTTTTGTTTGTTATCCCCTATAACTTAATGATGTTAGAAAACTTATTCTTATAATCCAATGTTCCATTTTAGCAATTAGAGTAGGAGTGTATATTCCTTTTTTGGATGGGCCACTGACTTAAAATGATGTTTGGCTGAGCATCTCAACCAAAAGGCACACAGCTATAGCAGTAGGAGAAGAGCTCACTAACTATTTTAATCCTGAAACAGCCACAGATTTTTGGTACTCTTAATGTAAGTCTTTAGGGGATTTTTAACCTATTGTGAATATTTGACTTCAAAATATACTGGTTCATATGTAATAGTAAATAAATTAATCCTCATTGTAGAAGATATGTATTGATTTATCCCTTGTCTCCTCAGATAAAAAAGCAAAGCTTTTAGATTTTGATCAACAAAAATTATAGTTACCTGATGAGCACTATTGTATATTACTTTGCCTAAGTATCACATATACTTATGTTTATTTTATTACTATACTTATGGATTACATGAACATCTACCTCATTTTGTATCCTTTGTTTCATTTGTCATTTGTCATTATCCTTTATTATTCCTCTTTGGACTGCCTTTAGGGAGAATGGAATATGGGGAAAGTAATTTGGAGGGTTTTTTTTCCCTATTTGTTTCTGGGTTCACTGGATTTATTACTGACTTAATTCTCAAACTTTTTTTATATTGCTCACAATATAACACAGTAGTGTTGTATCTTTTGGGGTGGAGGGTAAGTTCTAAAGCTATCATGGAACGTAAAAATTGTGTTTGCTTAGTATTAGTCTTAAATGACCATAGTACAATATGGTTTTGAGTAAACAACATTGAATAGTAATAATTGTATAAGTGTATGATTATATGGTGCTCTAAGACAACATATATGCAAAATAAAACTTTACAATATTTTTAATTATGTAAGAAATGAAAGATGAATGCATGTTTATTATGTCTATATGATGCAAAGTCCCTGTATCCCCCTTAGTAAAATCCCATGTGAACATGGGATTGTTAGAGAAGTAGGCATAATTCATTTTAATTCTGGCATTGCTTTCTTTTTTCATCTTCTGATGTGCAATTTTATTTTCTACTGATGTGTAATTTATACCTTTGATTTGACATAGAGACTTTTCCTTATTTGGACACTATGGAGTTTCACCTAGTTTGACAGTGTTTCTCTTCCACAAAGAAATTGTCTAGAAACATCTTACCAAGCTACAAAGAAATCCGAAGTTGTGGTAGCAAAAGATATATAGCGAAGTTTTCATTGCCAGTGAAAGTATTGTTGAGCTTTTCATAATTACTTAAATTGGCTAACTAATGAACTCAAGAACAATTCATTTGTTAGGTTGTAGCCAGAATTCTGTACATAAAGTGGATCTCTATAAAAACTAATAAAAAAGTAGTAACATCCCACTTACCTGGAAATTGTGGTTGTAGCAACTTTAGTTCAATAAACATTTAAATTCCTATCCTAGAATTAAAGCAAAATTCAAAGATGATGAAGGCACAGCCTGGTGTCTTGGTATAGTTATAGCTTTAGTCCGCTAGAACATATGGGGGAATGGCTTCTGAAGTCCACATGTAGCCATCACAAAGTGTATGCTCTGCAGAATTGAATCTCTTTAGGATTTCATTCAGAGCCTTATTGAGTCTTTTTACTGTAACTCATGTTTACTCATAGATGACTAGAATAATAAAAAAAGGGAAGATAGGTAGAGGACTGATTATTAAAGGGATGCAAATTGACGGCAAGAAAAATGACAGCCAGTAGCCTAATAGCAAGGTCCAAGAAAGAACTAAAACTAACAAAACTGCATTATTGCCTACCATGAGGGTTTTCACAATGCTCTTATTCATCAAGAAAATACCAAACCTATCCAATCATTGGTGTAAAACCAGAAAGATCACATGTGCCAAATTACAGAGTTCTATGTTTACTTTTGCTTAATAATGAGAAACTATTTGGGGGCTGATAATCTCAGCTGCCTATACACGTAGCTAGAAACACTATAGAATTTTCTTTGCACTTATTTTGGTATTTAACATTTCAATGTGGAGCTTACATTTACCTGTTTTGTTCTACTCCTTTCAGTAAAGTGGAATTCTGTTTGCTGGCATTTGGAGCTCAGTAGAATTCTGTTTTCTTGAGGCCTTTGCTTCAAGAAATGGCTGAAAAGAAGATAGCAAGTATAAAACAAGATCAAGGAGATGGGAGAGTTATACAGATTGTGATTTTAGGTGTGCATTGTTGTGTTGGGGTGTCAGACGGAGCAATCACATTTTCTTGATGAATATGATAAAACGCCATTCTGTAGTCCACTGTACTATCTTTCAGGGTTTTACATATGTGGCTCCATCTGTACTTGAAAGCGTGAAAGAAAAGTTTTCCTTTGAACCAAAAATCCGATCACCTCGAAGATTTATTGGCAGCCCACGAACACCTGTCAGGTATTCAAAATTTGTTATTCTTTTATTTTTTTTTAAACCCAGAAGAACATCGCTTAAAACTTTTGCCAAGTTATATAAATGAAAGATCTGTCATATTCGCTTTGACATAAATAAGCACAGCATGTACACCTTCTTAAAATGCAAGTGACTGGTCTATTACTAATCTATGATAATAGCTATATTGTTTACCTTCCCTTCTGAATGTCAGCTCCTGCACTGGCAAGTATCCTCTTTACCCATTCGTTCAACATTTATTGTGTACCAGGGGCTGTGCTGCGTGCTGGGGACACATAATTAACACAGGAATTGTCCTTGTCCTGATGAAGCTTACAGTTTAGTGAGAGTCACAAACAAAGAAGGAAATACAAAAAATGTGTAATGACAGGTAGTGCCAAGTACTGTATGAGAAAAAAAAATGATGGTAGAAAGCAAAGAAAAGCAAGGGGGCTCTTATTCATGGTGGTCATAGAAAGGCCTTCCTGGTGAAACAACATATAAGAATGAAGAGAAAGAACCAGCCATGCAAAATATAGAAGTACAAGGGTGTTATCGAACAGCCTGTGAAAAACCCTAAGGGAGGAAAAAACTTGGGCTTTTCTTGAAAATGAAAAGGTCAACGATCCTGAAGTGTGGTGAGTGAGGAAGAGAATGGGAAAGTTTTGGAGAAGTATTTTATTTTAAATGCAACAGGAAACTGTTTTAGTGGGGAAGTAAAATGAATTTTAAGAAAAATAACTATCATTGAGAGTTTTATGGGGCAAGTATAGATATAGATGGAGAAGTTAGGAAACTCTTAACAATTAGTTTAGGATAGAGATGGCTCAACTTTTGCCTTTGTGCTAATTCACAAAAAACAAAATTAAATGAAATTAGTGTCATATTACCCCACTCCCTTTAAATATAAGGAAAATAATTCTTGTTGAGATAATCCTTGAGATGAATGATAGCTCTTCCTTGTCTTAAAGCCCAGTCAAATTTTCTCCTGGGGATTTCTGGGGAAGAGGTGCTTCAGCCAGCACGACGAATACTCAGACGCCTGTGGAATACCCAATGGAAACAAGTGAAAAAAGCCTACAGTTTTCAGGCAAACTACAAATTTGTTTTTTTTTTAAGATTTTCTTCCCAGGCAGTATTTAGTAGTAATTAATAAATCATGATTTGTAAAGCAAAATAGAAAGCAAATTCTATAAAGAAAAATAATTTGACAAAGTAATGTTTCTTTTCTCTCCAAAGCTGCTGAAAAGAAATGCTGCTTCTCGTCTTGGAGCTGGTCCTGGGGATGCTGGAGAAGTTCAAGTAGGGATTGGCATGTGTGGTGGTTTGAGGGGAAGATAATGCTAATTTTATGTATTTGTGACAGTTTTATATAGTTCTTATAAGCATGGCTTATTTTGTGATTGGTAACTTCAAATAGGCAGTTAATTTGTCAATCCAGTGAAGTCTATTCCCCTTGACTTTTCTTCCTGATCTTTTTTCTAGGCTCATCCATTTTTCAGGCATATTAACTGGGAAGAACTGCTGGCTCGGAAGGTGGAGCCTCCCTTTAAACCTCTGTTGGTATGCATATGTGAAAGCATATAATTTTGTGGACCTGCTACTTTTTTAGAATAAGAACACCTTAGAGCAGTCAGAAACATTATGTTTATTAACAGTTCAAAAAACTTTGGTCTACCCTCTCTTCTCTTAAGAATCTTTGTTCTGTGCAGTCTTTTCAAACTACTGCCAGCAGAAATTGATGACTGACTATATTAACTATTTTTAAGTTGGTTGCATAACAAGTATTTCAAGTAGTTGGGACTTTTGTGTTTTTTGCTTTGTTTTGTTTTGCCTAATTGAACCCTATTTTAACTTTGGTTTCCTGGGAAGTTTTTTCTTCAAAATAGAGAACATATGTGTATTATTAGTTTGCTAAAGTTGCTGTAACAAAGTACAATAAATTGGGTGGCTTAAACAACAGAAATTGATTGTGTCACAGTGAGAGACTCTGTTCTATGCCTCCCTCCTAGCTTTGGTGGTTTGCTGGCAATCTTTGGCATTCCTTGGCCTGTAGGCTCATCATGTGATCTCTGCCTTCATGTTCACATGGCATTCTCCTTGTATGCAGGTCTGTGTCCAAATTTTCCCCTTTTAGAAGGACACTAGTCATATTGGATTAGCATCCCTGCCTACTCTAGTATGACTTCATCTTAACTAATTATATCTGCAGTGACCCTCATTCCATTCTGAGGTACTGAAAGTTAGAACTTCAACATATAAATGTTGTGGGAGACACAATTTGAACCATTTCAATATGTTTAAGAGTAAAATTAGTGTGTTAGTTCTTGTCTTTTTCCCACCTCAGAATTTAAGAAAATAGAGTTTCTTTTTTGATTTCTTAGATGAAGGTGGAGGAGGAGGAGAATGATGATAACTATTTTAGTCTTGGAGCACAGGGTGACTTGCTTTAAAATGTCAACATCTATAATTGTAAGGAGGATAATTAACCCTCATGTGCCAACTGCCCAGCTTCAAAAATTATTAGGTTATCTTGTTTAAACATAAATGTTACCACCATGCTTTCATCACAACTAAAATACTGACAATTTCCCCAGTTTTTATTTTTTCCGTTGGTTTATTTCAGTAAGGATTCAGTCAAGGTCTGTACAGTTTGGTTACTGTGTCTCTTGGGTCTCTTTCCAATCTGTAGATATCCTTTCTCAGTTCCTCCTCTGAAGACTTACACTGGACCATTTGTCCTGTTCCTCACATTTTGATTTTGCAGATTTTAACCCCATGGTGTCCAAATCAGTCATGTTTATTTGTCCTATGTATTTCCAAAAACTAGTAGTTATGTTTAGATGCTTGGTATGATTCAGATTATTAAACTTTTGATGGTGTATATTTTGATCAGGAGATTTTGTGTATTTGTTTCTTTTAGTGATGTTAATGGTCATTGATCATTGCCTGCATCAGTGGTTCTCAGGCTAGGGTCTGTTTGGCAATTTCTGGAGACAAGTTGTCGTAACTTGGAGAGGGTCTGCTACTGGTACCTGGGAAGCAGAGGCCAGAAATGCTGGTAACCATTCTGTAATGCACAGGATAGCCCCTGAAATAAGGATTATCAGGCCCCAAATGTTCATAAGTTCTGGTTCAGAAACTCTGGCCTAGATCCAGGATTTCCTTAGGGATTTGCAAAACTGTGTTATTCTAATATTGTTATTCATTCTTTATTAGCTGGAATTCTTCCATAAAGAGAAACTCTTATAAATCAGTTGTTTGATTATCTGAGGTACAGTTCATACAGGAAAGGCAAGATACGTATTTGTTTCTTTCCCTGTTTTCAAAATAACGAATTAGTTCCCTAGCATCTTCCATAATTGAACAGTGAATGTGTGTGTTTGTGTGTGTTAGTATAATTATGAACTCATTCCTTTTATCATATTTGTGTTTCAGTCCATTGCAGTTCTTTTTGTAGATGTTCAGCTTTTTCCTTTCTTGATACTGGGTGCTTCTTCATGTTGGTTCCTGTGTTCTTGTGACATGACCACATAATCTGATATTGTACCAAAGAAATTAAACAGATCTGGTGTTAGATTTAGGTGATGATATTCTTTCACAAGAAAGTATATTCATACAGAATATAATTTTTTTTTCTCTTTGAGAAATACAAGAAATGAAATAAGATATGGAAAGAAGCTTTAACGAGAACACCTTATAAACATGTTTTGTGTACAAATTCTGCTTCAGTAGGTTTTCAGGTCTATTGCAAACCTGCCAAGGCCAACTGAGGGAGTTATCTCTGAAAAGGGATTTAGCCAGTGGCTAAACTAGGCACACTGAAGCTTTGTGAGAGGGGAAGATTGATATTCAGGTTTTTAATAGGAATGATAACTGCACTAAAATCGATTTTAATATGTTTAAAATTTGAGGATATAATTTGACTTGTGGTATTCTGCCTATATTTATTCTTCCATCCCTACCTGCTAAGACTATTCTGATACTTTATTACAGTCAAACCCTGCAAAAAGAGTTCTATCTAGAAGCTTCTCTAATGCATGTAGTGACTCTGATGGATATGTATAATATAAACTATTTATCATCTTCTGATCATTTTGTTCTTTATAAAGCAATCCGAAGAGGATGTGAGTCAGTTTGATTCAAAGTTTACACGCCAGACACCTGTTGACAGTCCAGATGACTCCACTCTCAGTGAAAGTGCCAACCAGGTCTTTCTGGTAAGTCAAAGAATTTTCATGAAGCCATGGGAAATTTAAGCATGAGGATGGGCCCTTTTCAATAATAAAAGCTGTTTTCAATAAGAAATTCAATTGCTTGCAATTCATGTAGATAGATACCTGAGTTGCTATTTTTTGTTTGTTATCCCCTATAACTTAATGATGTTAGAAAACTTATTCTTATAATCCAATGTTCCATTTTAGCAATTAGAGTAGGAGTGTATATTCCTTTTTTGGATGGGCCACTGACTTAAAATGATGTTTGGCTGAGCATCTCAACCAAAAGGCACACAGCTATAGCAGTAGGAGAAGAGCTCACTAACTATTTTAATCCTGAAACAGCCACAGATTTTTGGTACTCTTAATGTAAGTCTTTAGGGGATTTTTAACCTATTGTGAATATTTGACTTCAAAATATACTGGTTCATATGTAATAGTAAATAAATTAATCCTCATTGTAGAAGATATGTATTGATTTATCCCTTGTCTCCTCAGATAAAAAAGCAAAGCTTTTAGATTTTGATCAACAAAAATTATAGTTACCTGATGAGCACTATTGTATATTACTTTGCCTAAGTATCACATATACTTATGTTTATTTTATTACTATACTTATGGATTACATGAACATCTACCTCATTTTGTATCCTTTGTTTCATTTGTCATTTGTCATTATCCTTTATTATTCCTCTTTGGACTGCCTTTAGGGAGAATGGAATATGGGGAAAGTAATTTGGAGGGTTTTTTTTCCCTATTTGTTTCTGGGTTCACTGGATTTATTACTGACTTAATTCTCAAACTTTTTTTATATTGCTCACAATATAACACAGTAGTGTTGTATCTTTTGGGGTGGAGGGTAAGTTCTAAAGCTATCATGGAACGTAAAAATTGTGTTTGCTTAGTATTAGTCTTAAATGACCATAGTACAATATGGTTTTGAGTAAACAACATTGAATAGTAATAATTGTATAAGTGTATGATTATATGGTGCTCTAAGACAACATATATGCAAAATAAAACTTTACAATATTTTTAATTATGTAAGAAATGAAAGATGAATGCATGTTTATTATGTCTATATGATGCAAAGTCCCTGTATCCCCCTTAGTAAAATCCCATGTGAACATGGGATTGTTAGAGAAGTAGGCATAATTCATTTTAATTCTGGCATTGCTTTCTTTTTTCATCTTCTGATGTGCAATTTTATTTTCTACTGATGTGTAATTTATACCTTTGATTTGACATAGAGACTTTTCCTTATTTGGACACTATGGAGTTTCACCTAGTTTGACAGTGTTTCTCTTCCACAAAGAAATTGTCTAGAAACATCTTACCAAGCTACAAAGAAATCCGAAGTTGTGGTAGCAAAAGATATATAGCGAAGTTTTCATTGCCAGTGAAAGTATTGTTGAGCTTTTCATAATTACTTAAATTGGCTAACTAATGAACTCAAGAACAATTCATTTGTTAGGTTGTAGCCAGAATTCTGTACATAAAGTGGATCTCTATAAAAACTAATAAAAAAGTAGTAACATCCCACTTACCTGGAAATTGTGGTTGTAGCAACTTTAGTTCAATAAACATTTAAATTCCTATCCTAGAATTAAAGCAAAATTCAAAGATGATGAAGGCACAGCCTGGTGTCTTGGTATAGTTATAGCTTTAGTCCGCTAGAACATATGGGGGAATGGCTTCTGAAGTCCACATGTAGCCATCACAAAGTGTATGCTCTGCAGAATTGAATCTCTTTAGGATTTCATTCAGAGCCTTATTGAGTCTTTTTACTGTAACTCATGTTTACTCATAGATGACTAGAATAATAAAAAAAGGGAAGATAGGTAGAGGACTGATTATTAAAGGGATGCAAATTGACGGCAAGAAAAATGACAGCCAGTAGCCTAATAGCAAGGTCCAAGAAAGAACTAAAACTAACAAAACTGCATTATTGCCTACCATGAGGGTTTTCACAATGCTCTTATTCATCAAGAAAATACCAAACCTATCCAATCATTGGTGTAAAACCAGAAAGATCACATGTGCCAAATTACAGAGTTCTATGTTTACTTTTGCTTAATAATGAGAAACTATTTGGGGGCTGATAATCTCAGCTGCCTATACACGTAGCTAGAAACACTATAGAATTTTCTTTGCACTTATTTTGGTATTTAACATTTCAATGTGGAGCTTACATTTACCTGTTTTGTTCTACTCCTTTCAGTAAAGTGGAATTCTGTTTGCTGGCATTTGGAGCTCAGTAGAATTCTGTTTTCTTGAGGCCTTTGCTTCAAGAAATGGCTGAAAAGAAGATAGCAAGTATAAAACAAGATCAAGGAGATGGGAGAGTTATACAGATTGTGATTTTAGGTGTGCATTGTTGTGTTGGGGTGTCAGACGGAGCAATCACATTTTCTTGATGAATATGATAAAACGCCATTCTGTAGTCCACTGTACTATCTTTCAGGGTTTTACATATGTGGCTCCATCTGTACTTGAAAGCGTGAAAGAAAAGTTTTCCTTTGAACCAAAAATCCGATCACCTCGAAGATTTATTGGCAGCCCACGAACACCTGTCAGGTATTCAAAATTTGTTATTCTTTTATTTTTTTTTAAACCCAGAAGAACATCGCTTAAAACTTTTGCCAAGTTATATAAATGAAAGATCTGTCATATTCGCTTTGACATAAATAAGCACAGCATGTACACCTTCTTAAAATGCAAGTGACTGGTCTATTACTAATCTATGATAATAGCTATATTGTTTACCTTCCCTTCTGAATGTCAGCTCCTGCACTGGCAAGTATCCTCTTTACCCATTCGTTCAACATTTATTGTGTACCAGGGGCTGTGCTGCGTGCTGGGGACACATAATTAACACAGGAATTGTCCTTGTCCTGATGAAGCTTACAGTTTAGTGAGAGTCACAAACAAAGAAGGAAATACAAAAAATGTGTAATGACAGGTAGTGCCAAGTACTGTATGAGAAAAAAAAATGATGGTAGAAAGCAAAGAAAAGCAAGGGGGCTCTTATTCATGGTGGTCATAGAAAGGCCTTCCTGGTGAAACAACATATAAGAATGAAGAGAAAGAACCAGCCATGCAAAATATAGAAGTACAAGGGTGTTATCGAACAGCCTGTGAAAAACCCTAAGGGAGGAAAAAACTTGGGCTTTTCTTGAAAATGAAAAGGTCAACGATCCTGAAGTGTGGTGAGTGAGGAAGAGAATGGGAAAGTTTTGGAGAAGTATTTTATTTTAAATGCAACAGGAAACTGTTTTAGTGGGGAAGTAAAATGAATTTTAAGAAAAATAACTATCATTGAGAGTTTTATGGGGCAAGTATAGATATAGATGGAGAAGTTAGGAAACTCTTAACAATTAGTTTAGGATAGAGATGGCTCAACTTTTGCCTTTGTGCTAATTCACAAAAAACAAAATTAAATGAAATTAGTGTCATATTACCCCACTCCCTTTAAATATAAGGAAAATAATTCTTGTTGAGATAATCCTTGAGATGAATGATAGCTCTTCCTTGTCTTAAAGCCCAGTCAAATTTTCTCCTGGGGATTTCTGGGGAAGAGGTGCTTCAGCCAGCACGACGAATACTCAGACGCCTGTGGAATACCCAATGGAAACAAGTGGAATAGAGCAGATGGATGTGACAATGAGTGGGGAAGCTTCAGCACCACTTCCAATACGACAGCCGAACTCTGGGCCATACAAAAAACAAGCTTTTCCCATGATCTCCAAACGACCAGAGCACCTGCGTATGAATCTATGACAGAGCAATGCTTTTATTGAATTTAAGGCAAAAAAAGTAGGGATAGGATGTGTGAGCATCCTGCAAGGTAAAACAAGAAGACTCAAAATGACAGTCTCAAAGAGTCAGTGTCATTACATGGAACACTTTGGACAGAGGAAAAATAAACATGGATTTTTAAAAATCAAATCAATGGTGCAAAAAAAACTTAAGCAAAATAGTATTGCAGAACTCTTAGGCACATCAGTTAATTGATTCCTAGTGACATCTTCTCAACCGAATCAAGGATTTTCACGTTGATGGCTCAAAACTGACAGTATTAAGGGTAGGATGTTGCTTCTGAATCATCGTTGCATTCTGATTGTGTCGAAGAAGGGTTATCCTTTCATTAGGCAAAATCTGAAATTGCCTGTAATACTTGCAACTAAGGACAAATTAGCATGCAAGCTTGTTCAAACTTTTCCAGCAACATGGAATCAAAGACAAAAGAAACTTACTGATTGATGTTTTACGTGCAAACAACCTGAATCTTTTTTTTATATAAATATATATTTTTCAAATAGATTTTTGATTCAGCTCATTATGGAAAACATCCCAAACTTTAAAATGCGAAATTACTGGTTGGTGTGAAGAAAGCCAAACAACTTCTGTTTCTTCTCTTGGTGAAGTAATAAAAATGCAAATGAATCATTGTTAACCACAGCTGTGGCTTGTTTGAGGGATTGGGGTGGACTCCGGGTTTATTTCAGTAACCCAGCTGCAATACCTGTCTGTAATACTAGAAAAAAAAATGAATCTATTTAATCATTTCTACTTACAGTACAGCTATGTGCTAAGCGTAACTGGAAGCCTTGGGATGGGCATAAGTTGTATGTCCTACATTTCATTCTTGTCCTGGGCCTACATTGCACTGGAAAAATATCACCACCTGTTCTTATACCAGTATTTGGTTCAAGATACGAATTGTGTTCAGCCCATGGCTGAAGAAGGACGGAAGAGTCAGGATAAAATGCATATCGAGGGCGGCAAAGTGAGGGAGATAGGGAGATTCAGGGGAAGAGGGTGTTGCCATCATCTACTCTGTCTAATCTCTACAGCAAATTGGTAAGGTTTTAAGTTTTACTTATTTTTACTGTTGTTGCCATCTACTTTCTTACATTTTTTTCCCTCAACAGTTTTAAAAGGAAAAAAAGGTATTTTTTTCCTCCTATACTGGGGCTACATTTTTTGATTGTAAAAATATTTGATGGCCTTTTGATGAATGTCTTCCACAGTGAATAAGAAAACTTAGTGGCTTAATTTAGGAAATATGTTAACAAGACACTATGTTTTTGAAGTCGTAACAAAAATCTTCCTAAGTGATTTACAGGTTCAAAGAATAAAAATAAAGGTAACTTTACCTTTCTTAAATACTTCCTGCCTTAAAGAGAGCATTTCCATGACTTTAGCTGGTGAAAGGGTTTAATATCTGCAGAGCTTTATAAAAATATATTTCAGTGCATACTGGTATAATAGCTGATCATGCAGTTACAGTTGAGTCTTATCACTTCTTTTTGTTTGTTTTTATATGTCTTCAGTCTGAGTGTGCAAAGTCAATTTGTATATTTTGCAACCCTATGATTTTTTAAAATAGATGCTGCTTGTTATGTTCAACAAACCTTTTTGAGCCATAGGATCCAAGCCATAAAATTCTTTACGTATGTTGAATTCAGTCAGAAAAGAGCAAGTCTTTGCTTATTTAAATGGCAATTCAAGTGAGATGATGTGAAATCCTATGACATTAAGCAAAACAGAACCATGACAAAAATGATTGGAAACATATATATCTTTTCAATTGTGGCAATAAATGAAAGATTTGATAACAGTTATCTTTGGACAGTAAGCCTTTTTTTTAAAATCACTCCCTCTAGACCCCCTCCTTCCCTTATTGCAGCAGTGTACTGAAAACTTTGATTGCAGCTAATAAATTTGAAGCTACAATAATAAGGGTAGAAATTGTACTTAAAGTACAGCTGTTTGTTCTCTAATGGTTTATGATGTCTGAAAAATCAGAACCCTATGGTGATATGTACAGGCTTTATTTCTGACTGTAAATGGCTCATGCTACTCTGCTTATTTTCCAACGTGTTTACTAATTGTAGTGTTGACTGCCTGACCAATTCCAGTAAAATTTTTATACCAAAATATTCCTCAGTCCTGTTCGCTATTAACATTTGCACTGTGATTGGCTGGCTATAACCACACCAGAGTTCAACCATTTTCATAGTACCACCAGCAGTAGTGGTAAATACTGCAACTTTTCTGCATAGAAAGCATTAATTGCACACCTGCAATCCAAACAAATAGCTTTTCAAACTTAACATTAAATGAAATTAATTCCCTGTGCTGTGGCAAGTTTATTGAGAAATTGTTTCATAAATGGATATCCCTACTCTGACTGTGAAAACATGTCAAGTGCCACTTTAGTGTCACAGACAGAAAGCACACACCTATGCAATATGGCTTACCCTATATTTATTTGTAAAAATCTGAGCATAGTTTAAAATATATGATGTCAATATAACTAGTCTTGAGTTTCTAAGAGGGTTCTTTATGATTATTCCAGGTAAGCATATAAAAGAGATTGTGTTTTTCTTTCACACTTGATTTTCTTTGAAATCAGCTATTATAAGATATTTTTTTATTTTATACATGCTGTTTTTTTATTAAAATATAATCAGAGAACTGAAGTTTACTAATTTTGATTTTGTAAGGTTTGTAGCATTACAGAATAAACAGATTTATAAACCAGCTGTGATTAACAATGTGTAAAGTATTAATTATTGAAGTTGAACCAGATTTTTAGGAAAATTGTTACTTTTTTCTCCTTTATGGTCATACCTAATTTGAATCCTCCAAGGATTTTTCCATACTATTTTTTGAGATCAAAGATAATGTGGGGGGAGAATGTAAGTATGATACTCCATAAATTCAACATTCTTTAAGTAATAATGATTATAAACCAGATGTATCTTCAATAATAATGTACTGAGCCTTGGATTTTATATTTAATATAGGACTTAACTATTTTGGTTACTCAGTCATATGACTCCTGGCTTACAAGGGCTAGATATCTAAAGACTATTCCCTTGAGAAATGTTGAATTTATGAAGAACGGATTTTGAGACTTTGAAAATGGTAGACACTAGCAAGCTGAACAAAAACAATTATAAAGCTGTTTGTCACACCATGACCTGTGGGCTGTTGTTGATTGATACAAAACTTTTCTTGTGTGATTCCTAATATACCACTACAGCACAAGTATTATCTTAGTGGATTATCTGAAGTAACGTCTGGAAGATGGGTTCATCTGTGTTTGCTCTTTAAACTATTATTTTTTCCCTGTCCCAAGTTGGCTTTGTATCTATCAGAGTAAATTAATTCTTCAGCTGCCTTATTAGGAGTGCTATGAGGGTAACACCTTTTCTGCTTTTCATCTTGTATTTAGTTTACTGTATTAAGTATTTGATTTCAGATTGAATGAATGTAAATAGAAAATTAAATGCAAATTTGAATGAATATAAAATAGACGTGATTTTTTTAAAATTCCAAGACAAGATATCAATCAGGTGCACAAATGGTTTCAATAATGTTTTTCATTAACATGCCAAATGTGTTCAGCTTCTCATATTTAATAAACTACTTATATATGTGAGGAATGACAGTTGTTAGAAACTGTTCTCTGCTGAGAAAGCGAAGCTACTTAAATTTATAACAAGTGTTAGTACTGAATTTATATATTAGATGTTACATATCTGTAATTTCCAAGTTCTGTCGAATAGGTTACTTAAAAAAAAATTCAATTTTGAAGTTATGTGAAAAAAATAGCTTCATGTAAAAACACTAGGAAGACTTTGTCTTGTTAACTGCATTTGATTATTTGATGTGTATGCACAATGTAATGCACAAATCTGTTTTTAACTAATGTCTCAATATATCTAGTGTAAGATTGGTGTTTTGTATAAGCTATTTAAATTCCTCCACACTTACCAAGATTATTTCTCTATAGACATTCTCAAACTGGCTTTACTTTTTTATGAAACATTATAGTGACTCTTAATATTCATAAAACAGTCTTTCAGAGGGTGTGATCTGGATTCACAGAATAAATGGGTTAAAGATCTATTTCTGTTTTTGAGGTGAAATTATAAATACTTCTAATTAGTTCATCAGCATTATTAGTGGATGGCATAGCTTTCCTACTGTATTTTCCTCCTTTTAAATTCATAATGAACTGCTTTCTTCATTAAACAGAACAGAAAAATCCCACTGTTTAACATGGACCACCTTTGTTTTTAAATCATATTAAGAAACAAAGCTGTCTGTATAGCCATAGGCTAAGTAGGTATTATAATAGGGCTAAAGTAAACCATTTAGTAAGGTGCTGTTCTGATTTTAACAAAAAGTCAGCATGTCTTTCACACCCAAATTCTCTTCCTAATTTGCCTTACCTATCTCCTGCTCTATACTTAACTGTAGGCTCCCTACAAAGTCAGGAAGGTGATTTAAGGCCAAGTAAGCTTGTGCAATATTTGCAGTGGTTCTCAAAATAAATAAAAGAGTTAAATAGATCATCACTGAATGAATATAAACAATTGTACTTACAATAAGTTGGAGGCTATCTAATGTTCTTTTGTTCATTTCAGTGGCCTTATAGGCATTAAAGTAACTTAAGCTGTGGCTGGTTGGGCACTATCCTTACTAATCTGTATGCTGTTAATAGCCTTTGTTTTACCAACACTGCAAATTTCAGTCTCTCCATTTCTCTTTCCCACTACGTTTTCCTTGTGCAAACTGACCCATGGTAAAAGAAAAAATGGGCATAGGCCTTATACTTATAAACTTCGATATAACCAGCCCTTCAGATGTCTGTTGTAGATCTTGATTCCCCTTAGAGGTTTCAAGGTGAGAAAGTGACTGCATTCTTTTTTCCACCACCCTGCACATGTATCTGGAGGCAAAGAGCACACTGTCCGAAGCTTTTGGTCTCCTCTGAGTGCAAGCTTTAATCTCCCAAGTAATGGTGATTCAAGCATAAGACACCAAAACTTCTGGAGAAGACTAGTTGTAAGGGAAATTATTTTTTAAGAGTTTGAGTTGGTCTTGTCACACTATTCAAATCATCAGTGAAGCCAGCTGTTTGTAATCCATGTAAATTATTTTAATAATTCAAGATAGTCCCTGGCACTATATAAAAAAAGCAAGATCATGAATGCTGGCTGACAGCAGGATTGTATGAGATGTCCACAAAGTGAATTTAAGTCATCTATTCTCAGCAACTGCTAAACATACAACAAAGAATAATATAATATTAAAATATATCCTCAGTAATTGATCTTCTTTTAAAAAATATGACATAGGTAAAATATAGCATTTAGAACTTTCATTTAAAAATACAAATTTTATGAAACTTTTACGAATTTTTAGAATGGGAATTACAAAAGTCAATTTTAAAGGAAATTCAGATAATGTATATCTGAAAATACTATGAAAAATATTCTTATTTTGGAAAATAATGTCAGGGAAGAATACCTGAGTTCCTTTAAAATCACTAATTCTAGTTATCCACTTGCTGTTTTGGTAACATTAACAAGAAAACACATTTACAATTTAACATTGCCATCACCTGTCAAATAGATTTCTATATGCATTAGGTTGAACATTACTTACATATTTTTTAAAACACAGGGTTCTTTCAGTTAATCTTTTGATAAATCAGGATACACACTGAAGTATTATAATATTCTAAAACCATTCAGAAACATTTTCCTTCAAGCTGTGAGGACTGATGCTGACGTCTTTATAGTATACTCACTGTAACCAAATCCAATTAGTGTTTCTGGCCTTAACAGTTTACACAACTTAATATATTTGGAGGTGCGATGAAGTGGCTCCATCTTTCCATTTGTTTATATGGTCTGAAATCACAGTTCTGCACAGTGGACATGTTTTCTCTCTGTTGAACCATAACGTAATGCACTCTTCACAAAATATATGCTGTAAGGGAATTAAGAACTAGGTTTTTATATTTGCTAACATTTTAACTTTAATCACATTGCAGAGAATCACTCTTTAGAGCTAAAAGGGATTTTGGAGAGCAATGATCTCTTCATTTTACAAATGAGCAAACAGTATGATGTTCTAGAACACAAAGGGCAGTATCAGTGCCACATGGAACACTAGTGTTCTTTTGAGTCTACTATCCACTTAACCACTTTTAATAAAATACAAGCTATCTTATTTAAAATCAAGTACAATAATGACTTAATAAAGTCTTTGAGAGTAACTGCCATAAAATATAGGAAAGGGCTTTACACAATCTAGTGACATGCTTTATTACTAAAACGAGTATGCATTTATTAAAAGTAGCCTGTTTCCAGTCACTTTGGTATCTAATCTGCCATTTGAATTATTTTTCTCCTTCATAAAGTCCTCTGCATAAAAATCATTAGAACATAAAGGACAAGATTTAGCTGATCTACCAAACCCCTTATCAGAAATAAGAAATCAATAGTATGTGCCAAATATTGTAGACTTTTTTCCTAAAATAACAGAAATGTAACTTTTGTGAGTCACAAAGAAGTGTTATACTTAGGTTGCTTAAAAATACAGTTACCTGACAGTTGAGAAGAATTGGCTTTTGAAATTGAGCTTGACATATTGAACAAGTATCATCCACATCTGAACACTGTCTCTTGCTGGCAGCCACTCCATAACTCTGAAAATAAGAAGTTATGAACTCTGTTTGTTTATGAGTTTCTTTCTTTCCTGTTCTTCAAATATACAGGTGATATGCTGTATTTCTTAAATCTCTCTGGAACTAGGCAATTGAAAAAATTCTCTGAAGGATACAGACATTTCATAGCTGAACCACATAATGCAGAACCATGTCTTGATGGACTGCATGCATCAAGGTAAACTCTTAAATAATACATAAGATCTTGGAAGAGTGTTAGATTCACTGGATTCCCAAATAATAAAGCTTCAAATTCCACACAAAATCAAGTGGCTTAAGAGATTAAACAATCCAAAAAATAAGTATTATAAACCTATATTCATGTATAAGTATTATAAAACCTATATTCATGTATAATGTGATCCCATATTGCCAAAGTGAGTCCACTTATACCTACAGCAGTGGTTCAAAAAAGTCAATTCATAGCTTGGTTGGCGAAATGTAACTCATCTTGGAAAGACTGCTTTAAAAATAGATTTTCTGTGCTCCACACTGCAGATTGGTTCAACAGATCCAAACATACTGGGATGTGACCCAGGAATCTATGAAACTTCTGGTAAATTCAGTGTGAAGGTTTGGGGACCACTGAACAGTGTCTTGCCTCTAAATCTAATAATAATTTTAATTATCCTTAATTATCACAATAGTCACAGCATTTAGTACTAAGAAAGGATGGTAAAATTTTGCAACACAACATTGCAAAACATCACTGGTGGAGTTATCTGTCAAAACTATCTGACTAATAATGCAGTTCTTTGAATTTCCTTTTCTTCCATAGTCCTAAAAAAGAAGTTTCTTATCTCTTAAACATCTCAATAACTTCCTCACCAGATTCTGTAGAATTTAGTCATTAACTAGATGTGACAAAATATTACAAATGATGGGGGAAACGGTGGCTAAAGGGAACACCCAAATTCAGTTTTGGAAATGAGAGCAAAGTATGACTTGACTCAACAACCTAAAGCTATGATCTAAACTTGTACTAAATATTGAGGGTTAACAAAATCAAACTCAAGAGGAAAAGTATTTAGTAAAAATATTAAAAATCAAGTTTTTTGAGACTGGTAATGTTAGATTGTAGAAACAAATTGGGATAATGGTGGAGATCTTGGTTCCTTGATGAAGGAACATTTCCCTTTAGGAAAATGTTAATTAGCAGAAAACATTTCAGATACTTATGCTGACAAGCTTTTAAAATAGCACTCTTGTCTGGCATTTTGCAGACTCCCTTCAGATGAAGACAACCTGATGATCACTGCCATTTCCCTGACAAAGTTCAAGAACCTGTATATACATGTCCAGGACATGAGACACTCGGGAATAAATCAAAGGATCAATGCATGTGATATTCTTTCTGTGCCTCAAAGAGAAAGAATATCCAAGTATTTCAGCACAAGCCTTACTAGATTAATTATAGTAAAGTGGCTGATACTTACATAATCATCTGAATAAACTCGACCAAAGCTGAACTCAATTTTATTGTATCTTGTCTAAAGAAAGTCTGAATAGAATACAGCAAAACTTGTTTCTACATTACTATCTTAGAGAAAGGGTGCCCTGGCCATGTAGTTTGGATATAATACTTAAAAAAAAAAATACATTAGGCTGGCATTCTTTTCGGTCAGATCCCCCCAACCAAATAATTGTTTCAGTACCTTAGTAGACTACAAAGTTGAGGATCCATCTGAAATCTGGTGTCTACATCTAAGTACTAAGAACCTTTGAGGCTACTAAATAGCAAACAAGCCTGACACCCTTTATCTGCAAATTTGTAACATCAGTAGAATCGCATAATCAAATTTACAACTGACACTGGAGTCTCTGTTGTTAAATTCCATGCCTCCAACTTGTGTGTTGGTGGGGAAATTTTTCCAGTAAGAAAATGCAGCAACCCAGGTTCCCGTGTCCAGTTCTGTCCCCACTTTCCTCAGGCATACCTTGAAACTCCGACCTGCTGTGATGACTAGAGCCAGGCTCTGATTCACTCGTAGATTTCTACCCCAGCCTCTGAGTAACAGACATCAGGGCTAGAAACTTAGCTGGTGCCAAGGAGAGGGTCTTAGAGGACTCTGGGTGGCAGGGCCAATATTTTATCCAGGTGCCTAGGCTGTAACTCATTGACTAGAATTGAACCTTAGTTTTGTACCAACGCTGCTAATCTGCTGTATCTTAACATTAAACGTTATATTCTAACCAAAAAAAAAAATAAGAAAAATTTAAGGGACATGATTTTTGGCAATGAGCTTTTTTTATATACACAATAAATTGCAGCTGAAGCATTTTCATAGAAGCTGAATAAGGAATTAATAAATTCAATTTTGAAGTTATGTGAAAAAAATAGCTTCATGTAAAAACACTAGGAAGACTTTGTCTTGTTAACTGCATTTGATTATTTGATGTGTATGCACAATGTAATGCACAAATCTGTTTTTAACTAATGTCTCAATATATCTAGTGTAAGATTGGTGTTTTGTATAAGCTATTTAAATTCCTCCACACTTACCAAGATTATTTCTCTATAGACATTCTCAAACTGGCTTTACTTTTTTATGAAACATTATAGTGACTCTTAATATTCATAAAACAGTCTTTCAGAGGGTGTGATCTGGATTCACAGAATAAATGGGTTAAAGATCTATTTCTGTTTTTGAGGTGAAATTATAAATACTTCTAATTAGTTCATCAGCATTATTAGTGGATGGCATAGCTTTCCTACTGTATTTTCCTCCTTTTAAATTCATAATGAACTGCTTTCTTCATTAAACAGAACAGAAAAATCCCACTGTTTAACATGGACCACCTTTGTTTTTAAATCATATTAAGAAACAAAGCTGTCTGTATAGCCATAGGCTAAGTAGGTATTATAATAGGGCTAAAGTAAACCATTTAGTAAGGTGCTGTTCTGATTTTAACAAAAAGTCAGCATGTCTTTCACACCCAAATTCTCTTCCTAATTTGCCTTACCTATCTCCTGCTCTATACTTAACTGTAGGCTCCCTACAAAGTCAGGAAGGTGATTTAAGGCCAAGTAAGCTTGTGCAATATTTGCAGTGGTTCTCAAAATAAATAAAAGAGTTAAATAGATCATCACTGAATGAATATAAACAATTGTACTTACAATAAGTTGGAGGCTATCTAATGTTCTTTTGTTCATTTCAGTGGCCTTATAGGCATTAAAGTAACTTAAGCTGTGGCTGGTTGGGCACTATCCTTACTAATCTGTATGCTGTTAATAGCCTTTGTTTTACCAACACTGCAAATTTCAGTCTCTCCATTTCTCTTTCCCACTACGTTTTCCTTGTGCAAACTGACCCATGGTAAAAGAAAAAATGGGCATAGGCCTTATACTTATAAACTTCGATATAACCAGCCCTTCAGATGTCTGTTGTAGATCTTGATTCCCCTTAGAGGTTTCAAGGTGAGAAAGTGACTGCATTCTTTTTTCCACCACCCTGCACATGTATCTGGAGGCAAAGAGCACACTGTCCGAAGCTTTTGGTCTCCTCTGAGTGCAAGCTTTAATCTCCCAAGTAATGGTGATTCAAGCATAAGACACCAAAACTTCTGGAGAAGACTAGTTGTAAGGGAAATTATTTTTTAAGAGTTTGAGTTGGTCTTGTCACACTATTCAAATCATCAGTGAAGCCAGCTGTTTGTAATCCATGTAAATTATTTTAATAATTCAAGATAGTCCCTGGCACTATATAAAAAAAGCAAGATCATGAATGCTGGCTGACAGCAGGATTGTATGAGATGTCCACAAAGTGAATTTAAGTCATCTATTCTCAGCAACTGCTAAACATACAACAAAGAATAATATAATATTAAAATATATCCTCAGTAATTGATCTTCTTTTAAAAAATATGACATAGGTAAAATATAGCATTTAGAACTTTCATTTAAAAATACAAATTTTATGAAACTTTTACGAATTTTTAGAATGGGAATTACAAAAGTCAATTTTAAAGGAAATTCAGATAATGTATATCTGAAAATACTATGAAAAATATTCTTATTTTGGAAAATAATGTCAGGGAAGAATACCTGAGTTCCTTTAAAATCACTAATTCTAGTTATCCACTTGCTGTTTTGGTAACATTAACAAGAAAACACATTTACAATTTAACATTGCCATCACCTGTCAAATAGATTTCTATATGCATTAGGTTGAACATTACTTACATATTTTTTAAAACACAGGGTTCTTTCAGTTAATCTTTTGATAAATCAGGATACACACTGAAGTATTATAATATTCTAAAACCATTCAGAAACATTTTCCTTCAAGCTGTGAGGACTGATGCTGACGTCTTTATAGTATACTCACTGTAACCAAATCCAATTAGTGTTTCTGGCCTTAACAGTTTACACAACTTAATATATTTGGAGGTGCGATGAAGTGGCTCCATCTTTCCATTTGTTTATATGGTCTGAAATCACAGTTCTGCACAGTGGACATGTTTTCTCTCTGTTGAACCATAACGTAATGCACTCTTCACAAAATATATGCTGTAAGGGAATTAAGAACTAGGTTTTTATATTTGCTAACATTTTAACTTTAATCACATTGCAGAGAATCACTCTTTAGAGCTAAAAGGGATTTTGGAGAGCAATGATCTCTTCATTTTACAAATGAGCAAACAGTATGATGTTCTAGAACACAAAGGGCAGTATCAGTGCCACATGGAACACTAGTGTTCTTTTGAGTCTACTATCCACTTAACCACTTTTAATAAAATACAAGCTATCTTATTTAAAATCAAGTACAATAATGACTTAATAAAGTCTTTGAGAGTAACTGCCATAAAATATAGGAAAGGGCTTTACACAATCTAGTGACATGCTTTATTACTAAAACGAGTATGCATTTATTAAAAGTAGCCTGTTTCCAGTCACTTTGGTATCTAATCTGCCATTTGAATTATTTTTCTCCTTCATAAAGTCCTCTGCATAAAAATCATTAGAACATAAAGGACAAGATTTAGCTGATCTACCAAACCCCTTATCAGAAATAAGAAATCAATAGTATGTGCCAAATATTGTAGACTTTTTTCCTAAAATAACAGAAATGTAACTTTTGTGAGTCACAAAGAAGTGTTATACTTAGGTTGCTTAAAAATACAGTTACCTGACAGTTGAGAAGAATTGGCTTTTGAAATTGAGCTTGACATATTGAACAAGTATCATCCACATCTGAACACTGTCTCTTGCTGGCAGCCACTCCATAACTCTGAAAATAAGAAGTTATGAACTCTGTTTGTTTATGAGTTTCTTTCTTTCCTGTTCTTCAAATATACAGGTGATATGCTGTATTTCTTAAATCTCTCTGGAACTAGGCAATTGAAAAAATTCTCTGAAGGATACAGACATTTCATAGCTGAACCACATAATGCAGAACCATGTCTTGATGGACTGCATGCATCAAGGTAAACTCTTAAATAATACATAAGATCTTGGAAGAGTGTTAGATTCACTGGATTCCCAAATAATAAAGCTTCAAATTCCACACAAAATCAAGTGGCTTAAGAGATTAAACAATCCAAAAAATAAGTATTATAAACCTATATTCATGTATAAGTATTATAAAACCTATATTCATGTATAATGTGATCCCATATTGCCAAAGTGAGTCCACTTATACCTACAGCAGTGGTTCAAAAAAGTCAATTCATAGCTTGGTTGGCGAAATGTAACTCATCTTGGAAAGACTGCTTTAAAAATAGATTTTCTGTGCTCCACACTGCAGATTGGTTCAACAGATCCAAACATACTGGGATGTGACCCAGGAATCTATGAAACTTCTGGTAAATTCAGTGTGAAGGTTTGGGGACCACTGAACAGTGTCTTGCCTCTAAATCTAATAATAATTTTAATTATCCTTAATTATCACAATAGTCACAGCATTTAGTACTAAGAAAGGATGGTAAAATTTTGCAACACAACATTGCAAAACATCACTGGTGGAGTTATCTGTCAAAACTATCTGACTAATAATGCAGTTCTTTGAATTTCCTTTTCTTCCATAGTCCTAAAAAAGAAGTTTCTTATCTCTTAAACATCTCAATAACTTCCTCACCAGATTCTGTAGAATTTAGTCATTAACTAGATGTGACAAAATATTACAAATGATGGGGGAAACGGTGGCTAAAGGGAACACCCAAATTCAGTTTTGGAAATGAGAGCAAAGTATGACTTGACTCAACAACCTAAAGCTATGATCTAAACTTGTACTAAATATTGAGGGTTAACAAAATCAAACTCAAGAGGAAAAGTATTTAGTAAAAATATTAAAAATCAAGTTTTTTGAGACTGGTAATGTTAGATTGTAGAAACAAATTGGGATAATGGTGGAGATCTTGGTTCCTTGATGAAGGAACATTTCCCTTTAGGAAAATGTTAATTAGCAGAAAACATTTCAGATACTTATGCTGACAAGCTTTTAAAATAGCACTCTTGTCTGGCATTTTGCAGACTCCCTTCAGATGAAGACAACCTGATGATCACTGCCATTTCCCTGACAAAGTTCAAGAACCTGTATATACATGTCCAGGACATGAGACACTCGGGAATAAATCAAAGGATCAATGCATGTGATATTCTTTCTGTGCCTCAAAGAGAAAGAATATCCAAGTATTTCAGCACAAGCCTTACTAGATTAATTATAGTAAAGTGGCTGATACTTACATAATCATCTGAATAAACTCGACCAAAGCTGAACTCAATTTTATTGTATCTTGTCTAAAGAAAGTCTGAATAGAATACAGCAAAACTTGTTTCTACATTACTATCTTAGAGAAAGGGTGCCCTGGCCATGTAGTTTGGATATAATACTTAAAAAAAAAAATACATTAGGCTGGCATTCTTTTCGGTCAGATCCCCCCAACCAAATAATTGTTTCAGTACCTTAGTAGACTACAAAGTTGAGGATCCATCTGAAATCTGGTGTCTACATCTAAGTACTAAGAACCTTTGAGGCTACTAAATAGCAAACAAGCCTGACACCCTTTATCTGCAAATTTGTAACATCAGTAGAATCGCATAATCAAATTTACAACTGACACTGGAGTCTCTGTTGTTAAATTCCATGCCTCCAACTTGTGTGTTGGTGGGGAAATTTTTCCAGTAAGAAAATGCAGCAACCCAGGTTCCCGTGTCCAGTTCTGTCCCCACTTTCCTCAGGCATACCTTGAAACTCCGACCTGCTGTGATGACTAGAGCCAGGCTCTGATTCACTCGTAGATTTCTACCCCAGCCTCTGAGTAACAGACATCAGGGCTAGAAACTTAGCTGGTGCCAAGGAGAGGGTCTTAGAGGACTCTGGGTGGCAGGGCCAATATTTTATCCAGGTGCCTAGGCTGTAACTCATTGACTAGAATTGAACCTTAGTTTTGTACCAACGCTGCTAATCTGCTGTATCTTAACATTAAACGTTATATTCTAACCAAAAAAAAAAATAAGAAAAATTTAAGGGACATGATTTTTGGCAATGAGCTTTTTTTATATACACAATAAATTGCAGCTGAAGCATTTTCATAGAAGCTGAATAAGGAATTAATGGAAATAACATACAGCTACCATTTGTGGATTTAAAAAGGAAGAGGAACAAAAGTTCATGAAAAGATTTTTAAGAAATGTTTATAAACCCTTAAGAGTGTCAAGTGATTTCAAGGCGTAAGAAGCAAACAAATACATTGCACTGCATCAGCTATCAGGTGGTTGTCAATGGGCAAGTCAAGAAACTGATAGAAATAAAATTTCTAAATCATTATAATAGCCCAAGTGCCAAAGTACTAAAAAAGTTTTTTTAAAAATCATGTAATTATGAAATCCACACTTGTAAAACTGCTGTACTAAAAATTTTTTATAATGAAGGAAGAAAGGTAAGTATTTTTTCTTAACTGATAAAAAGTACTTACTGGTTGTGTAAAAAATATTCGCAAAGCCTGTCGGAAAGTTCTTAGATGTCTAAAAAAGTCCAAAAGCTGAAAGAAGATAAGAGAACTCATTAATTTGAAGACTCCTAGCTGCTAAACCGAGAGATCAAAGCTAAAATCCTACACTATCAAATACTGGTATTAATTTAATGCTCATTGCATATCACAACTAACCACTTCATTCCAAATATATTTAAAGTCCAATTATGGAATATTTTATGCAATTTATAGGTTTCAATCAATTCTTAACCAAAATAAAGTACATCTGAATATCTAGAATTCAAATTTGGTCAAGGCAAATACAAACTAATTCAAAGACAAGGCAGTTTTACCTGGTCACACATTCTCATAATTTGAGAATTATGTGTATGATAGATGCTACTGCTTGGGATGGGAATTGTTCTATTCTACTTGTCACCGCTCCTCCCATCTTAGATAATCCATGCTATGTGGAGGTCCACTCCCCCAGTAATCAGAGAACCACAGAATTAAGATAAAGATAAATATTTCCATTTCTAAGTAGATACAGAATTTGCTATTGCTATTATTTCACACTGATATGAATATAAACTATGAAACAGTTGAAAAGCTGTATTATGTGAAATCTGATCATTACATGAATTATACAAGGACAAGGTTTAGAACATTACCTACTTTTAATATGAGGTAGAGTAAAGCCAGCAATATCCCAAGACTCCATCTAGTTACATTACCAAACTCTCCATAGCCTATAAGGTAACGAAACCAAACTGGTACAGGAACAAAAGCTCGGTAGTATTGACATAATTCTTCTAAAAACATATACCAGTAACCCTAAAAAGGAAGGAAGAAGAAAACAAATATAGCTACCCAAGCTACTTAGATACATAGCACAAATACTTCATACTGGACTAAGAACATCGTGCGTATATGACACAATAACACAAATAACTATAAAATTAATCTTCATAATGGTAATGATTATGACTAACAACCTCAACCTGGTACTCATATTATTAGTCACTGAGTGGTTTGTTTTCAGAAAATTTCTAAAGAGTAACAGTGGAAATGTTTTATGTATACTACAAGTAAAACATGTTTTTATTGAATACAGAAATTTCAAATTTTTATTGAATATGGGAAAAACTGAATAACTGCATACAGTCAGTTATAAATTATCAACTATCTGGAGAAGTACAAATCTAAATATTTTTTCTATACATGATGTGGGGCCTGATTTTTATATAAGTCTAAAACATGTAATTCTTATTTTATTGGAATAGATTAATATTTAGGTTCAAGTCTTTGAACGAACTGTTGCCAGTCTGAGATAATTAAAATTCAGTTATTTAGCAAACTGAAAAATTATAAAAGGAGTAATTTAAATGAAGACTAAATAGCATTAATGTGGTTTGCTAACATCATTCCAATAAAACATGTTAGTTTCTTACCTTGAACTTAAAAGGCATGATGAAGGAAGGCACCAATAAAATAAGGCATTTTAAGCCCATGAAGAGGAATTTCAGAATGAAGTCTGTAATTCCAACAATCCAAAGTACTTCCCAGAAGCTTGAACTGTCCAAAGTTGGATTTAAAAATATTAAGCTACCAAGAGAAAAAAAGTTACCAGAGTAACTTGTCAAGTTTTTATAGGGGTTTTAAATTTGCTATGTGTTACTTTAATTTGATGTGTAATTAGAGATAATGTAAAGTGAATGGAAGATAATTTTGCTTAAAGACACTTTAAATGTTTGAATTTCAAGTCTTCCCTTCATAGACTAAAGAAAAGTCTTTCTAGCTTATCATGGTTGATGCCTTTCTAGCCTACAATCTAAAATATTCACTAATACTAGACATCTGCCATTTTTAAACCAAGTCCCATTAGAATCCACCCCCTAATTTCCACTGAATTGCTTTCGTCAAGATCACCAACTCCCTCCATCTTGCTAAATCCATAGGTCACTTCTCTTTTCCCTTCTTCCGTCCCTGATATTTCTTTCTAGACTTCCGACACCACACTCTCCTAGTTGTTCTATGTGACCGATGGTTCCTTTGACTAATTGTGGGTATGCCAATTCCTGGGCCCTCTTCTCTTGTCTATACTTCTTTCCCTGGTAGACTTGACTTATCCTAGGGTTTTAAAATATCAACTATATGTTATTTACTGATAACATTGAAATTTATAGCCCTAAACTCTACTCTGAGCTCATGACACATATCTATTATCAGTAGAACTTTCTTAACAGTTCTACGTGGCCTCTCAAACTTAATGTTCAAAACAAAATTAATGATTTTCCCCTCAAAACCAATTCCTTTCCCAGTCTTTTCTGGCCCAGTAAATGGCATCACCATCCAGCCAGTTATTAGACTAAAAACCCAGGTGTCATCCATGATTCTTCTCCCCTTCCTACCCACCCAATCCAATCTGAGTGGTACTGGCTCCACCTGCAAACTGTATCCCAAAGTGATCCACATCTCTTCAACTCGACTGAAACCAGGACTTTTAATTATCTGATTAAAGCCAAAAATTCAGAACACTTCCATCAGACATGGGAATTTATCAACTATCATCCTTTAGCAAATCCTACTTCTAAAAACAAAGATCATATGTTCTCACCATACACACACAAAAAAGTAAGGGAGGTGAGGACAATGTTAATTAGCTTGATTGTGGTAATCATTTCACAATGTATATACATATATCACACATCATGTTGTACATCTTAAATAAATACAATTTGTCAAAATAAATAACCACAACCAACAACCTAATGGCATTTAATAAATAAATACTGAATATATAAGTAAACATTTTAAGTACCAAAAATTATTTATTGAGCAGCTGCTATAGAGCTCTCAATCTTGGAAAGATGGACAGGTAAAAATTGAACTGAAAGATAACTATGTGCAAATAAGATAAATGCTAAGTGCAATGGAATATATATATTACATTAAAAAATGTGACTGTGTACTTGGACCTCTAATTACCTGTAATAAAGTGACTGAGAATGAAAGGTGTAATATAAAAGAACAGAAGATCCTGCTAAGAATACCAGTAACCAAGCACACTGAATCTTTGAGCACCTTTCCTGAAAAATAAACAATTTTATAATTTGTTACTTTGAATTTTGCCAGAATTTTAAGTATCATTAAACCATTTTACTTTAATGGCTAACTTATTAAACCTAGAACATTTTAATAGATTAATTAATCTTAATGAAAATATAGGTATCTGTTAAGTTGTACATCATCACATTCTATTTTAGTGAACAAAACAATTCATATTTAAACAAATTTTTAAAGTGTCTCTTCATAGAATAAAAACATATTTCAAAGAAGCCAAATCTACATGCTGACTAAAGGAACCAACCAGAGACTCTACCCTCCAGCTCCCTTTTTTTTTTGCCTGACAAAACAGAATTCTTAAAAATGCAATTCAGTTATCAGGGTTTATAAGCCTAATTTTTTAAATTCTCAGACAAGTCAGTAAGAATTTAATATGGTAATTCGTTTTAAATCTCACTTTTAAAATTAGGTTTTAAGTACTACTTCAATTATAAGTTTCACTACTTTTAAACCCTGAATTAAATTTTTATGGTTAGAATAAATTTCCAGGTCAGAATGCATGACCCTTTACATAGCACAACCTTTAAAGTTGCTTGAAGGTGAAATTTCATGAAGTAATCCTATTTTTCCAATCATTTGTATGAATAGAACTTTTATAATTTGTTATGTAAAAACTTAGTTTTTCTTTAAATAAGAGATTTAAATAGTTCAATATCACTTTATTCAATGTACATTTTAATTATTTAAAATTTTTATAGTGCAACAGCTAAAATTTTTAATGATGATTACATTACGCAGTATGGTCAAATTAACTCCTAAAACATGAGGGCACTTGACAAATCAGATCCAAGAGTGCTTTCTAAACTTTTTTAATACTGTTATCTAGGTTTCTATGAGTAACCCAACATGCAAGGAATATAAAGTGAAACAATTCAGCATTAGGACAAATCACTTATTTCAGGTCATTTAGATAACAAAATGTAATGTATCATTAATAGTACAATATATCTATTTAAATTTATCAAACTAAATTCCTTTTAGTCTCAAAATTGAGTAATTCTACAGAGAGAAATACTTAATGATTTTTTAGTTGTTTGTTATACTTACTCTTAGGAAAACCTGATTTACAATGCTTTTGTTTGCATACATAAAAGTTGTAAGCAGCCCAATTCCAAGAGAAATTCCTGTTAGAAGATAAGTTCCAGTTAATTGAAAGAGAAAAAAAATGAAAGAGCTAACCAGTGACATGAATTTAAAGAAACACAATTTTAAAACCTAATAGAAAATAAGTAACTGAAACACAAAGGTGTTAGACTTATTACTAATAATAAAATTAACTGAATTTAGTAATGAATTCGAAGTTTTATTATACCATACCTGTTACATGCTGCATAACAAGTTTGACACACAGAATCAAAATATATGGAAGACTCCTTTGCAACCACTTGAAGAGATACTGGAATTCTGAGAAGGCACTACTACCATGATCTCCAGACTCCATGGCAGTATCATCAGGCTGCCTTGCTTCGCTGTGGGAGTGACTCCGTAAGCGACTATGTACACATCCATGGGTACAGCTATGGAGAGCTGATCTCATATTTCTGGAGCTTGGATTTTCAGCACATTCTTTAGGTATGGTGTTTATCTGGATATGAACATCTCCAGAATGAAGACAACCTTCTATCAATCTTGTATGGACACACTGGGAGGCTGAGGTATCCTCACTGCCTACAGCTCCTGGAGAACTGTGCAGTTGGCTACAGTTGGCTTGCATGACCCTTGAATATTTTTCTGTGATCCAGATTTCTTTGCTTCAGGGCTCTGTCTGCTAAAAATCAAAGAACAGAAAATACTCTAATGAACAGTTAAATCCAGGCAATATATTGCTCACTAGGAATCCTTTATTCACTAAAGGAAAGGTACCTCATTCCCAAAAAGAATGCTACCTAAATATTTTCAAAATTGGGAGATTTGGGGAGTCACCGTGCAATTTCTAGGTGACTACAGTCTGAGTAAGGATAGTTCCATGGTCTACCCGTTAAGAACGCCACCACCGGGGTGTGTGTGGGCTGGAGGGAGTCGTCAGGAAAGAGCACCGGCAGGGAAGGAGCCCTAAATGACCAGCGTGGGCAGCCTTCAGGGATATGAGTCGTAACCTCAGCTGACGAAACGCAGAGCCTTATCCCAGTATCCCAGACTGCCATTTCTGGAGAAGAAAGCTCGGGGTAACGTCAGGACATGTTCTGGGTCATTCTATTTCATTCCTAGGTTTGTTTTTTTTTCCTGTTACTCTAAGACGGTACAGCCTTTTTACTAAGGCTTTCACCGATACTCCGACGCCACGGGTGCTATTTATTTTCTCAACCAACACTGGACGGGGTAGTTTCAGTGTCTTTTCCGTAAATGAAAACACAACCTTCCCACTTCCCTCCATGCAAGATCAAGAAAGGGAGAAAAAAGCAAGTAAGAAAAGTAAACGCAAACAACTCTTCCGGGATCCCCAGGACAGAGTTTTCCCCATGTTCGAGTTCCTAGTGCCTCAGTTACTCTCCCCGAAGCCCATTTGCCGCGGCCCCTCGCCTCCTCCGCCCGTTTCCCCAGGCCTGACCTCTCATGACGAGGAGTGGACGAAGGACCCGGCAGAGACTGCAGGAGGGGTGGGAGAAGCTGCGTCGAGGCCTTCGACGAGGGACATCGCCCTCAAACCCCACTACCGGTAACTCCGGCCAGCGCGGCGGCGGCGGCGGCGCGCCCGCTCCCCGACGTCCTCACGCGCGCGCGTCCCGTCCGCCGCGGGCCCGCCCCCGCGCGACGCGCAGAGCCGCGGACTGCTGCCAGGTGCGGAGCGGGCGCGAGGCGCGTTCGCCTGTGGAGGGGACTGGCAGCGCCTCAGGACTGCCTGAAGGCGCCTGCGTGGAACAAATATCCACCGTCACGTTGGTGCACGTACATGTGTAATCCGCTACACGCCTCGGAGATCTGGCTTTTTGAGATAAAAAAGTTTTGATTTGGAGAACCTGCCGTCGGAGGAGGGGCTTGAAGTGGACTGTACTAGTCCCGCCCGCAGCTGGTCTTTAGGGTCCCGGGAGCCTCCTCCTCTCCGAAGGTTGCCCATTGCCCTGGTCCTGCTTAGCGCTCTTGCCGGTTATGGGAGACGGAGGAGCCACGTCAGCGAGGAGTTGGGCGCGTTTGAGCCGGAGCCGGGCTGGGCGGGGCGAGAGGGTTAGGGTTTAGCGAGTTTAAGTCCTGACCCAAGTGGCTGACGGTGAAGTCTTAACTGAGCTGGGCTTTCCTTACTGTCCTGAAGTTGCAGTTTGTGATCTAGATCCTGCCTAAACCTGAGATCAGAAGCAAAGAGAAGTGGGGAAGAGATTAGATGGAGGTGGAAGTGGAACTTAGATTTTAAAGACATGTCTTGTATGGGGTATAGGGAACTCTGTACTGTCTTTTCTATAAAATTCGGTTAATCTAAAACTGTTCTAAAATGGGAGGGTTATTAAGAAAAAGCTTAAAACGAAAGAAAAAAAACCCTGCGTCTTGCGCCCCAGCCAAAAAGTATTTTAAATACTGAATGTATTGCATGCATGTCCATTGTACCCCACAACTACCAATGGCCTTTGCATTTTGAACCGCAAGCTTTTCACCTTTAATTTATAGAAATTGACGTCAAGTAAATAACTTACAGTCTTTTTACAGTTCTTGAAATTAAACATTCCGTGCCATGTGGACTGAACTAACTTAGACGAAGGGTTGTCTTTCCTCACTAGGGAGGATACATTTGCTTACTTACATAAACATTATGAGTTGAATAGTGGGAAAAGTGATACTTTGTCTTTTTATTGGTCGCTACCTGATTTAAAACCATTAACAACTTTGCCCAAGATAGTGTGGCCGGTGTGATCCTTGAGGCTCCTTAACCATGAAATTGTACCTTATTTTCTCCTATATCAGGCTACATCTGAATCCACTGTTTAATCTCATTTACCCACTTTGAGGCTGTGCTTAAATCAGACTAGTTCTGTTACCAAGCCATTTCCCTTAATTAAAAAGGTGGTTTTTTCACCCCTTCCCCCGTGCCCCAACACACACACAGAGTATTCTGCTTCTTACTGTTGGTTGAGATACTGGCTTTTTTCATTCATAGGTTTCCTGAGCTTGGTTAATGTAACTCTTTCCTCAAAAATTAGTTTGTGGGTCAGTCTGTTTGCGCTACAATACTATAGACTTGGTGGCTTATAAACAGCAGATTTATTTCTCACAGTTTAGGAGCCTGAGAATTCCAAAATCAAGGTGCTGGCAGATTTGGTGTCTGGTGAGTACCTGCTTCTTGGTTCATAGACTAAAGTTGTCTCCTTGCTGTGTCCTATCATAGTGGAAGGGTGGAGGTAGCTCTTTGGAATCTTTTTTATAAAGGCACCTCTTTTATCAAGGCATCTCATTTACACCCCATCTCCTAATACCATCATATTGGGAGTATGATACCAACGTATTAATGTTTTTAGGGACATATACATTCAGTCTGTAGCAAAGTCTGAGGGCCAAGCTGTGGTCTGTAGTGAATTTTTTAAGGAGACTATTTTGTGTATACTGTACCATTCCAACTACAACATGGATATTTTTATTTTAAACTTGTATGAGAATTTAGAAAACAAAGAAAATCTCACATAATCCAGTGATAGCCACAATGGGGCATCAGTATGTTTTAGTACATTGGTAATTTTAGTACATCTGGTACATTTGTAAATTTAGTACATTTATACACATTAATGTAATGTTTAAATTCTCATTTTAGCATATTCAAAACACATAAAGGTGTATTAGTGCATATGGAAAATTTACTAGTATGCTTGAAACTGTATTCCACTCAAATAACTTGACTGAAAAGTAGCATTTGAAGAAGAGTCCTGACTTGATGACAAGATTTGATAGTGGCAGACTTATCTGATAAATTCCCTTTCCATGGGCATCTTGAGTATTGAAAATGGCTATTTTAACTGATTAATTCAAAAAACCAGTTGATGAATACTAAGTGTCAAGAATTGTACTAAATGTTGGAGAGACATAAAAAGACACGTAATCACCATCCCCCAGTGAAACAAGTGGTTAGACAAGTTTCCAAACAAATAATTATAGTATATTTTGGAATAAACACTGTAATTGAAGGTTGTGTGAGATGAAATGGAAGCAAGAAGGGGGAGCATTTAATTTTGTCAAGCAAGAAATGCTTCATTAAATATGTGGTATTTTAGATGAATCTTGAAGTATGAGTTGAAATTTGCTAGGACACAGCAATAATAGAACATTCTAGAGAGAAACAATATAAATCAGTTCTCATACCCAATTCCAGTGTGCCCACCCACACACCCCCATCCCCAAACAATTCTCAGACACCAGCAGGATATCCAAGAATTTAACTCAGTTCTGACGCTATCTACCTGGAGATAACATCAGATTCCACAGGTTAAGGGTTCAGTCCTGCAAGATTGTCCCCATCCCCCACTTCAGACATCACTTCCAAGTCCCAGGCTGTTACCTAGGTAACAAGCTCTGACCAATTGACTACAGTTTGGATGTTACAACCACCTTATCCTTAGGTTCAATTAATTTTCCGCAGTGGCTCACAGACCCCAAGGAAACACATATGTTTACCAGTTTATTCAAAGATATCATGAAGGATATGAATCAGTAGCTAGATGAGGAAATAAATAGGATACATAAGTTCCCAAAGGATTTTCTGTCCTTGTGGAGCTTGGGGCCTGGTTCCGTGTCCTGTGGAAGTGTTCTGATACCCCAAGCTCTCTGAAAGTGCCAAAAAGCTGTTCTCTTGGGTTTTTTTGGAGGCTTCATTACGTAGTCATGATTGACTAAGTCATTGGCCATTGGCTCATTCAACCTCCAGACCCTCTCCTGTCCCTGGAGGTGGTGGGGGTGCGGGTTCTGAAAGTTCCAACCCTCTAATCATATGTTGGTCCTCGTGGCAACCAGTCCCTGCCCTTGGGTGAGGTCCAAAAGTCATTGTCAGTAATAAGGCACTTATTTCAACTTTACAGCTCTGAAGTGCTTTTGGGAACTGTGGATGAAGATGAAATATATCTGAGAAATATATGTTTGGTCATCTGAATGATCAAATACGTATTTCCTATAAACCATTATGTTGCATAATATGTGGAAAGTTGTGGTATTGAAATATTACTCTTTGAAGGCTTTAGTTTTTGTGAAAGAATAGGGTGCATATGAAGGAAGAATAAGTTAAGTAGGGGCTAGAAAATTAAAGATTTTTGTGCTTCTTGTTTAAGAATTCTATAGTTTATTCTAATGGTCAAAGTAAAGCTATTGAGTTTTAAGCAGCAGAATTACATGACCAGATTTGTGTTTTCCAGAAAATTCACATGACAATAGCTTACAACAATGCCAGTTCAGTTAGACTATCACAAGTAGCAATAATAGATAATAATAATAGAAATAAGGATATAGAAATAATAATAATAAAATAAGGTCTTGAAATCCTCAGTGAAGGGATTCAAGAAGAATGATATTGAAAAGGTTGTAAGGACATAGAACCAACTGGGTTAAGTGTGGTAGGTTTTGCAGTTATGCCTTTTTTCTTGAGCCAGTGGGAGGTCAGTATTACTTTTTTCTCATGTCTTTTTCTGGGTTTGGTAACAGGATCATGCCGGCCTGAACTGAAATGTTTCTCCTTGTCTGTATTCAGAAAAGACTGTATAGAATTAGTGTTAATATTATTTCTTATTCTGTGATTGGTAGAATTTGCTGGGCAAGCCATCTAGTCTAGAATTTTCTTTATGGAAAGGTTTACAACTACAAATTTAATTTCTTTCATTAGGATTATCCAGATTATATAGTTCTTGAGTGACCATTGATAATTTGTGCCTATGAATGAATTGGCATAAAGTTGTTTGTAATATTCCTTTATTACCTTTTAAACATCTTTAGTGTCTGTGATGATGTTACTTTTTCATTCCTACTCTTGGTAATTTGTGTCTTCTTTGTTTTTTCCCTAGATGTGGCTACAAGTTTATAGATTTTACTGATATTTTAATTATTTTTCTTTTTTGTTTTCTTATTTTTAATTTTATTGAATTTTCCTTTTTATTTCCTTTCTTCTGTTTGCTTTGGATTTAATTTACTCCTTGTCTGGTTTCTACAGGTAGAAGTTTAGATCATTGATTTGAGATTTTTTTCTAATTATAAGCATATAATTTTTTTATTAAGGTATCATTTATATACAATGTTATAAAGGTTTCACATGAGCAACATTGTAGTTATTACATTCACCCATATTATCAAATCCCTTCCACACCCCACTGCAGTCACTGTCCATCAGCGTAGTAAGGTGCCACAGAGTCACTATTTGTCTTCTCTGTGCTATACTGCCTTCCCTGTGCCCCCCCTACATTATGTGTACTGATGGTAATATCTGTTAATCTCTTTCTCCTTCCCTCCCCACCCACCTTCCCCATCCCCTTCCCCTTGGTAACCCGCCAGTCCCTACTTGGAGCCTGTGGGTCTGCTGCTCTTTTGTTCCTTCAGTTTTGCTTTGTTATACTCCACAAATGAGGGAAATCATTTGGTACTTGTCTTTCTCTGCCTGGCTTACTTCACTGAGCATAATACCCTCTAGCTCCATCCATGTTGTTGCAAATGGTAGGATTTGTTTTCTTCTTATGGCCGAATAATATTCCAGTGTGTATATGTACCACTTTTTTATCCATTCATCTACTGATGGACACTTAGGTGCTTCCAT